GGCGGCGGCGGCGGCGGCGGGACTTGCGCGACGGGCAGCAGTGTCGCTGCGAGTACGCCTGCGGGCGGGGACGAAGACGAGGACGACGAGCTGGATGAGGATTTCGACGACGAGGAGCAGAATGCGTGAAGGAGCGGACGGATGGAGCGCTTTCCCCCTCTCTCTCTTACTCTCTCTCTCGCGAGTGTTGTCTTGGACTGTGTGTGTGTTCTTCTCTGATCAGGTTGTGCGAATCTACCATGTCGCTGTTTGAGTCTGGGCGAGTGTATGCGGCCATCGAGTTGAGCGAGCGAGCGAGACTGGCTTCGACCTCGACGAACAACGACGACGACGACTGCGAGTTGCGCTGTCATGGGCAGCCAATGACTGGCTCTACCGACGCAGACGCAGCAGACGCAGACACGCTCCCGTTCCAGCTCCCGCCGTCGTCGTACTCGACCCGCCAACCGCCGACGCCAAAGCCACCTCCCACCGCGACTCAGCGCAAGCCAGTCCGCTCGAGGTCCTTCCAGGGCGTCTACATCCCCGCCAGACCCGCATCCGACCACCCACACCGCAGCCGGGCGCACAACGACACCTCGAGCTCGTCGCCGCTAATGGGCCGCCCGAAGCACGACGGCGCGCCCACAGCCTCGGTGAGTCTCGCTGTACAGTCCAGGGGCTCGTGAAGGATGCTGTGGTGCCAGCTGACGTGCGATCGCACCCGTCCACGCAGAGTTCGCGGCGGGCAGACTCGATGGCGGATCGGGGCGAGACGAAGTCGCTCCCGTGGCTGTCGCAGCCGTCGCCAGAGCCGCCCGCAGCGTGCAAGGGTGCTTACGGGACTCGCAGCGGTGGCAATGGCAGGTCCAACAGCGTGCGTCCGCCCTCTGCTCGCCGAGCCCACGACCCTTTCGCTCACCGCCCTTCTCGCGTGACTGTGTCTGAACTCGCAGCTCTCGCAGGCTTCGAGCGCAGGATCGGGCTCGCTCAAGATTGTCCTCAGGCCTGCGAAACCTGATCCGTCTGCAGCTGTGCGTCCCAGCTCGCCTCGACACGTTCACCGAGTCCCGCTCGCTCACCGCTGACCCCCGTTCTCCACCCCCGCAACCAAAATCCAAAGCAGTCGACTCTGCCGACCCCGTCGTCGAGCGCCTCACCGCCAGTCGTGCTGCTCGAATCGTCAGTGTCCACCTCCGAAGCTTCGTCCCGCTCCGAGTCGCCCGCCGCCATCGCCCTCGCAACCGACCCTCACCCTCCCGCTCGCTCGTTCCCGCCCTCGCAAACCCCCGAATTCGGCTCGCCTGCGCCATCCAGCTCGGGTGCATCGACGCCACGGCCGGGACTGGGCGAACGGTCGTCCAGCCGCAAGGGGATCAAGAACGGAAAGGACGGCTTGAACCGAGTCTGCCACCACCACAAGAGCCAGACCGACCGGCCGCGCATGACGTGCGTCAATGCACCCGAGTGCAAGACCGTATGGTGCAAGACCTGCGTCGAGAAGTAGTGAGTTCGCCGTCCTCATGGATCGAGTTGGAGGCTGACCTTCGCGAATGGCAGCTACCTCGCCTGCACGCCCAACGCCGCCTTTGAAGCCGGTGTACTCTTCAACTGTCCAGTCTGCCAAGACGCGTGCCAATGCGCCGGCTGCAAGCGCAAACGGCGCGGCTACACCCGCGACGGACGCCGCGCACCCGTCGATGGAGACGTCACGGTTCCGGTCGCGGGCGGCGTCAAGGACAAGAAGGGGAAGAAGGAGAAGCGTGGGAGGGAGAATGCGAATGTTGAAGTTGGATTGTGGGCGGGGACGGCGGTGGCTGCGAGTGCGAGCGGGTGGGAGGCGGCGGGTCTTGGACTTGCGGTGACTGCGGGACCTGTTCCCGGTGCAGAGGAGGAGGACTCGACGGATGACGAGGCGGATGCGGTATCGCGGATGCTGATGGGTGGTGTGTCTGTGTCGCCTGCGGTACCGACCGCGCCTCTCCAGCCTGCGCCCGCTCCTGCGGAAGAAGTCCCGGTCATCAAGCGACGCAGCTCGCTCACCTCGGCCTACGACCGCGCCAACCCTCTCACGTTCGCTCACATGCCCCCGCCCGCTCCCGTCGTCACCACGCCCGCTCCCGCCCCTCCCGCTCCCGCATCTCGTCGACGATCCGGCGCCGCAGCTCGACCACCTCGCCAGCCAGATCCCTACGCCAACCTGTCTGCTTCACTCCCCGCCTCGTTCGCATCGACCCCGACCGCAGCTGTCACTCCCACCGCCGCCTCGTCCCGCCCTCGCCGAAACAAGCGACCCAGTTCAGCCTTCGACGACTATGCCCTCGACCTCCCTACCTCCTCTGCAGCCGGCCTCGTCGACCGTAACAACGCGACGCCGATCTCGCAGTACGCCTACGCGACGAGCGGATCTGCAGCGCGTCGACGAGGCGGACCCGCGTCCAACTCGCGCCAACATCCCTCGGGTATCGAAGCGCTCGCGAGCCTCCAACCTCGTCGCAAGATTCGGCGACGCTGGCATTCGGGCATTTCGAGCGCCAGCAGCTGCGACGACCTCTCGATGTCGGAGGACGATTTCGACGACGACTCGATGGACGAGGGCGAGGCGTCGATGATGGTTGTCGAAGAGCCGCTGCCGGTGTTGGCGGGCTTGGAACGCAATCTCGGACTTGAGGGAGACGGAACACCGCCTGATGGGATGTTGTTCGGCGAGGTCTTTGGTGTGGTCGGAGTTGCGGACCCGGCGTTGGCTGGTGCGCTGGCGGGCGGAGCGGCAGCCCAACTCGATTCGACGACTGCAGGAGCTGCGAAGCCGCTCAAACCAAAGGTCAAGTGGATCAAGGGCCCGCAGCGGAAGAAGTGGGAGATGGCGCGCGCGGCAGAGGCGGCGGCTGCGATGGGCTCGACGGCGGCTGTCAAGGAGGAGCCGAAGGACGACAAGGTCACCGACGAGGGCGCACCGAGACAACCAACATCGCCTGCTACCCTAAAGCGCGAAGCGCTCTCCGTCTCGCCGAGTGACCCGATCAAGCCTTTTGGCTCGCCTTCCGAACCGCTCAAGCGCAGCTCGACGGTCCCCATCACCGCGAGCGACGAAGACTCGCCGCCGTCGTACGACTCGCACGACTTTGTCTCCCGCCAGGCGGCAGCCTCGACCTCGACTTCCGCACCTCCCTCTACGTCCGCCCAGCCTGTCCAGCCTGCCGCACAGCCTTCACCGTCTCGCGCAGCGCTCGCTTCTCGCTCACCGGACGACGCCCGCCTCGCCTTTGCGCTCCTCGACGCCGTTCGTGCAGCAGTAGGTCCGCGCGCCGGTGAAACCGCCAGCACGACCAATGCCGAGGCAGATCACGCAGCAACCGCGAGCAACTTTGGCGCCGCACTCGAAGCGGCTCTCGGCTCGAACGGCACGGCTTCGGCGCTGTCGTCGCCTAGCAAGGCGCCCTTCGATGCGCGCGGTCCGACTTCATCAGGCGGGTCGCTCGGCTCGGCGATGGATGTCGACGATTATGAGGCGCGTGAGCGTGAAGCTGAGCGGAGGAGGCAGCAGCAAGCTGCGCAGTCGGTGGTCGATCCTGGCAAGGCGTTCAAGCCGACCGCCAAGGACGACACTCAGCTCTTCGTCGGCAGCCCAGTTTGCGACGTCGATGACGAGGCGGAGGACGTCGCGGCCGGGCGTCAAGCGGGCTATGCTGGAGGAGCCGGCATCGGGTTCGACTTTGACATGCTCGTTGCGGTCGACCAGGACCTCGACGCGCCCACGCCCGTTGACGATCTCTGGACGCCTGCATCAGCCGCCGACTCGCTCTCGACGACTCCTTCGACCGCCGCGTCGTCCGCCATGCCGACCTCGGCGCCGTTCGATGAGCCTGCTTGCTCTGTTGCGCCCTCCGCCTCGCTCGCCGCCGAGTATCCCTTCTTCGCCGCCGCCGTCGTCTCCGGCATCACCCCCCTCCCCGGCACCCCGATGCGCGACCTCAGCGGACTGTCGGGCCTCGAGCTCGAGGTCGGCGTGTCGGCCAACCTCGACAAGGCGATGTGGGCCGACGACCTCGCCGCCGGAACCGACTCGCAGCAAGCCGTCGCCGCATACTTGACATCTCGTCGCACAGTCACACACGCCATGGCGTCGTGAAATCGGCTCCGTTGCCCCGTTCATACTGTCACCACTCCACTCACTCGTCCCTCTCTCCTCTTTCGTTCTTTCCCCTCTCCCCACTCTTTGCGGTGCTCTCTACGCCCCTCTCTTCTTGTTGAACTGCCCTCGCAACTGTTCAGTACCGTCAAATCTCGACGACGAAGATCCCAAGTGCAACTGTTGTGATTTACCTCGCCTCCCGCTCGCGAGACTCGTCCTCGGGTAAATCGGTCGAGTGGCCAGTAAATCAGCCATACTGTGAGGGTTACAGCCAGCTTGTTGCCGAATCCCAGCGAGCTGTGACTAGTGAGCGACTGGCGACTTCGCCTCACGCGGTGACGAAGGGTCCGCCTTTGCTCTCTCACACCACTCGACGGCGCCTGGACTGCTGCTGCTTGGGACTGCTACATTCGCACACAGCTGCACAGACTGCACGCGCTCGCCGCTTGCCCGCCCGTCCCATCTCACCGACGCACCCGCCCCCACACACCTCCTCACGATGGCTTCGCGGCGCAAGGTCCTGCTCAAGGTGCGCACAGTGGCATCCGTAGTCTAGAAGCTGGCTGACCGTGCGTACTGGCACAGGTCATCATCTTGGGAGACTCTGGGTTCGTCTCTCCCCTTCGCTCCTCCCGGACCTCGTCCCCCTCGAGCTGACATGCCGGCTGGATCTGCAGAGTCGGAAAGACGTCTCTCATGAACCAGTATGTCAACAAGCGGTTTAGCAACCAGTACAAGGCGACGATCGGCGCCGACTTCCTCACCAAGGAGGTTGTGGTCGACGATAGGCTCGTCACGATGCAGGTGCGTTCAGCAGCGTGTTCAGAATGGTCTTTGAGTGGTGGTGAACGAGTGCTGACCGTCGCGACTCGCCTGCCCTCGTTCTGCCCATGCCGACCCACCGCCTCCCGCCTCCTCTTCCTCCTGCTCTCCTTTCACCGCACCCTTGACGCCCGATTTCCTCGCTTCTGTGATTCCGTGACCAGCTCTGGGACACGGCCGGCCAGGAGCGTTTCCAGTCGCTCGGCGTCGCCTTCTACCGAGGAGCCGACTGCTGCGTCCTCGTCTACGACGTCAACTCGTCCAAGTCTTTCGAGACGCTCGACAGCTGGCGCGACGAGTTCCTCATCCAAGCCTCCCCTCGCGACCCGGAGAACTTCCCCTTCATCGTGATCGGCAACAAGGTCGACATGGATCCCTCGAAGCGCATGGTCTCGCAGAAACGCGCGATGACTTGGTGTGAATCCAAGGGAAAGATTCCGTACTTTGAGACGTCGGCCAAGGATGCGACGAATGTCGAGCAGGCGTTCCAGGCGGCGTGCAGGAATGCGCTCGAGCAGGAGGGCAATGCGGACGTGTGAGTCCTCGAGCTGCTGTCCTTGGCTCGTGCTGGCCATTGCGACTAGCGTGAAGAGGTGCACGGTTGTTCGAGAGCTCGATTGACGCTGTCTATCTCGCAGGCTCGACGACTACCCCGACCCCATCCGGATCAACGCCCACGACGCCGACGCCAAGTACGGCTGCAGCTGCTGATCCCGCGCCTCCTCCCTTCCCTCGCCTCTCGTCCTCACTTGTCACACTACCGCTCGCATTCTGTCTCCGTTGCAGCGCCTCATCCCCTAGTTTCGCCACTTCGCCTCACCCATCCTCTAGCTCGCATGCCTTTCTGATTCGCGCCTTTGGAGCCTGTTCCACCATGTCGTCTGCTATGTAATATCCGCTGCGCCTTTCGAGCCATCGCAGTGGCGAGAGGGAGTCGGCCAGAGCGAGTGAATAAGACGAATGCAGACTTCGATAGCAACACGCAAGATAGGCTAGTCGTGCAGGCTACACACATAGAGCTGAACAACGGATGACGAAGAACATCCGTGAACGAGTGTCTGTCACCACTCCTTCGCGCCTCACTTCCCCTTCCCCTTCTTGCCCTTCTTCTCCCCCTCGCCCTCCAGATACTTCTCCTTGTACACCCAACTCAGCCCAAAGTCGCTCGCACCCTGTGCGATCGCAAGCCGGTAGTAATGCGCCGCGAGCTTCTTGTCCTTCTCGCAGCCTTTGCCGTTGGAGAAACAGAAGGCGACGTCTTGTTGCGCGTCGATGTCGCCGAGGTCGGCGGCGAGCTTGAAGTAGGAGACGGCCTGCGCAGACCGACTTGAGTCAGCCGGAAGAAAGAGAGGGGAAGACGAGAGGAAGCGGACCATCTTCTTGTTCTTCTCGACGCCGAGTCCGAAGCGGTAACTCTGGCCCATCTCGTACAGCGCCAACACGAGCTCGTTCTGCGGAAGAGGCTCGTCAGCTTCGCTCGTCGGATGCGGCAATGGTAGAGCGTACCCTGGCAGCCTTGGTGTTCGCTTCAGCCTCGGACAAGCTCCGCCCGCCGAAAACGACGCGGTCAAGGTCGTGGACCACTGACTCAGCGGCTGACTGGATGTAGCGGAAGCCGAGCGGGGCGTTGACTTGGCAGCCCTACGTACGACAGACGTCAGCAAAGCGCCGTGGAGGGGGGGACGGAATCGGTTGCGTACCCAGCCGTGGCGGAGCGTGAGGCTACGAAGCGGAAACTTAGTCAGGTCGGGCTGATTTGCTGCGGCGGAGGATCCTACGCACCCGTACATGAGCATCCCTGCTCCGCATCCGCCGTCCTTCTTCGCGCTCTGCTCGAAAGACCACGCCGCCCGCTCAAGCTCGCCCTGCTCGTGCAAGTCGATGCCGAGTTCTGCGACCACTCTCTCAGTCAGCAAGCAACGCAAGGAAGGGAGAATGGGCGGCGACTTACGCAAGAAGTCGTCGGGCGTCACCGGCTCCCTCCTGACCTCCTTCCCGCTCGGCGTCCGCCCAACAATGCTCGGTCTCTTCCCCTTCGTCGCCAAGTCAAGCTTCTGCAACGTCGACAACGACGACTGCGTCGAGACGCCTCGCGAGTGTTGCTGGACGAGCGCCGACAACGGTGAGGAGATCGGACCGGTTGGAGTAGTGGGCGAGGCGTCGTGTGAAGGCGGGAGGGAGTAGAAGGAGTAGTTGTCCGAGTAGAGCGACTGAATGGACGGCTGCTGCTTCAGATGCTGGTAGTGTCCCTGGTCACTCATTGACCGCCCCATCATCTCGCTCAGACGCTCGACATCATCGTTGCCGACACTTCCGCCGTTCGCAAGTCCATGCCGGACGATCACACCCCGCGCACCGACTTCGCCCGTCACCATCCTCGGCTGGACGATCCGCGCTCCTTGGACGTTCTTGAGTACACCGGCTCCCCCACTGCGAGACGAGAGATCTGACCTTCCGCGGGCGAAAGCAGGACGCGAAGCCGCTAGTCGCGCAAATTCGGCTTGCGAGAGCGGCGCGGATAACGGCGCGGGCGAGTGAGGCGGGAGAGGGGATAAGTGCGAGGACGGCGAGAGGGAGGCGGAGTGAGGCATTGTTGGAACCGAGGCGGAAGTCGGAGTCGGCGAAGGATTGTACCGTGAGCCGAATGCTGGAGGTGCTGAAGAGGGCGGAAGAGACTGCGAGAGAAGCGTCGGCGGAGCAGTCGCTGAAGTTGGGTGAGAGGGAAGAGGCGGTCGTTCGGCGGCCCACAGACCTTGATCCGACGTCTCGCGGGTGCGACTCTTGGACTTCGACCGGATCCTCGACCACACACCAGGCTTCTTCTCCCCCCGGCCGGTTCGCGACGATTCGGACGGTCCGGAGGAGGTGTCCGAGACCGAGCGCGCCATCGCGGCTGACTCGGTCGACGAGTGTGGCGGACGAGGTTTGCGCAGGACATTGCGTCGTCGAGGCGCTGCGGAAGACGGCGCGGACGATAGCTGAGAAGGAGAAGAGGGCGGAAGTGAGGAGGAAGAAGGCGAGAAGGGCGAGCGAGCGAAGCCATGCGGGTCGAGTGGCGACGAGGGTGAGAGCTGGAAGGCGGGAGGGACGGGAGGCGAAGGAGGTGGTCGCGAGCCGGTAAAAGGCGAAGGCGGCTCGAGGTATTCGTCGGCGGAGTAGACGGCGGATTGAGCAGCCGAGTCGTCGTACTCCGAGACCGAGTATGCTGAGGGAGGAGGGGGCGGGGAAAGCTTCGACTCCGCCACCGTGCCTGAAGCCACCGCACCCGTCGAAACAGGCCCAACCGGCTTCTCCATCTCTTCTCCGCCATATGCATCTTCGCCGACGTCGGTCCGCAACTCCTCCATCCCAAGCACAGATTCGTTCTCCTCGTACCGTCGGTCCGCCACATCTCGCAGACTCTTCCCCCTCGCAAGCGCAATCGCCCTCCTGGCCTCCTCCTCCAACCCCCTCGCTCTCTTTCCCTCATCGACCCAAATCATCGCATACGTCCCATGACTCGTCTGACTTGAGTGACCGATGGACGAGAACCGCTCGAGAGAGGCAGCGACGGACGAGGCGTGGCCGAGCGAAGAAGAACGGTCGATCGGAGAGGGATGAGCCGAGTCGAGCGTGTCTGTTCGTGAAGGAGAGGAGGGTCGACGAGCGGAGATGTGCGCGTCGATCGGGTCTAGGCGGCGTGGAGAGGACGGTTGTGCGTAGGAAGGACTCGCTGGGGTGGGCGGAACGAACGGGCGGGAGAAGTTTTTGGGCGTCGAAGAGAAGGTTTGTGAGCGAATACGCCCTTGACTCGAGCTGAGTGACGGCTCGAGAATAGGCTTTGACGCTTCAGCGACGGGTGCTGGTCGTATAGGCTCGCTGGGAGGAAGAACTTCCGACCACATCGCCGAATCGTGCGGGTTCTGCAGGAATGCCTCCGTGGTCGGTGAAGGCGGGCCTATCCGCACGATTGGCGTTGCAGGAGAGTCGGGCGTCGGAGGCGAAGGCGAGAGAGTGGGAGGTGGATGTGAGCGGGAAGAACGGGAGCTCGTGGAAGTAGAGGGGATGGACGCAGAGGCGCGCTGTGTGAAGGCGCCGTCTCGAGGTGAAGGAATGCCGGTGTATGCCTGAAGAGTGGCAGTGTCAGCGAGATCACAGTCCAGGAGAACGAAAGCAGACGCACCGAGAACGAGAAAGGGTCCCCATCGACGCTGGCAACCGTCATGCTGCTCTCCCTCCTCCCCTCGCCCAACAGCCTCCCCTTGACACCCATCGCGTCAGGTCTCCGCTTCATCGGCTCAAGACTCGCCACCGAATCGCGCGCCTCACTCCCCCAAGCCGAATGCCAGGTCGACCGGTGATCCGCCTCGTCCTGCTCGTCTGGTTCGAGTTCGGCCATGTATCGACGGGTTGAGGTCATGCGGGTTAGGTTAACTGCGCCGGAGGGGACGAGCGTGGGCGAGGAGCTGGAGGGTTGGGCGTTGTCGCGAAGGATCTCGGCGGGTTGGTCGTCCTCTCTCCAAGTCCCGACGACTCCTTCGTTTCCCTGCTGGTCCTCAGTGTACCCTCGTACATCTTCTGCATCTCCTTGCGCCGCCTGACCCGCGTACGGAGCCTGCACCTCCCTCAAACAGCCGTGTTTCCTCCGATTCTCAAGAACCGCTTCAAGCAACTCGTCCCGTCCCATTCCTCCCCGTTCTTCCATCCGCTTGGCTCGTAAAGGAGCAGGCTGTGTCGCAGACTGGGGCGGTCGGAGAGGCCGGATCGAAGAGATTGCTGGGAAGTGGGGTAGGGGAGCGATGGAAGCCGCTGAGCCAGCCCGATCCGCCTGCGTGGCCATCCCGTGCGAGTGTGCGTCTCCTGACTAGTCGGCTACCCCCCTCCTGAGCCGCGCGAGTCGAGGCGACGGTGTTGCTGTCCTGATGAAACGGACGACGAGGGCGCGAGCGTCGTCTGTGCGTCCGTTCGCCGGCGTACAAAGCCCAGGCAGCGCGTCTCTGCGCGCTCTGAGCAGCGAGTGGAAGCAGCGAGCGTTCAGCCGAGTGAGAGGGCGAGGAGAAGAACAAGCTGTTGTCCTTCTCGGAACACAAAAGCGCCAACAGTCGCGAAGAGGTCGCGTGCGAGGGTGTGCTTCCTTCCTCTCGCTGTAGACAGGCAGGTGATGTGTTTGCGTGTTGCAGAGTACGCGTTAGGTATGTGTAGACGGCGAGACCAGCGAAGAGAGCGAGGAGGAGGAAGGGGAGAGCCTTCTCAGGCCGTCAGCGCGCCTTTCCCGGTGCAACCAGCTTCGCGAGCGGAGCCGGTCATGGGCAGCAACGGTGTGAGCGCAGGGGCAAGCTGTACCCGGCTGAACCGTCGTCACGAAGCATTAAGCGTCACAGGGAGGCGTGAGGACAACTCGGGAGCCTTTCCCTCGAGCTGAGAAGCGAAAACCTGCCGCAGCGCCGTCGCACCGTCAAGTCCGTCTACATATGTCACAGACCGTCAAGGCGACACAGGTGGGCCCGGTGAAGCCGTGAGGAGCGCAAGGGATCCTCGAGAAGGGCATAAGTGACCAGACGAGTCGAGTCGAGCCGGGCGAGGCTTCGCGTCCTGTCTCTGCTCCCCGTGACCATCCTTAAGCACCGTGTCTCATCCCTCCACCGCGTAAACAGCGAGCGAGGGATCCATCAACCAGGCGAGGGCGCCGGGTGAGCGGCAGCAAGTACGGAAGCATGGCAGGCAGCGACAGGGCTAGTCGATCGATCGTACGAGCAGTTCAGCCCGGCGCAACGACTCGGCAAGCGGTTTGAGCGGGCGTCGAGTGAATGGCAGGAGGAAGAGCGTCACCGAGCGAAGTTGGCTCGAGCACTTCGCCTGCTGAGCTCGTTCTAAGCTGCTAGGGGATGGAACTCGATCCACTGTACGGCCTCAACTCGCAGCCAACACCGCCAGCCAGCCCACCGCCTCAACCGCTCTCCCCTCTGCCGCACGTATCGCTCCCCTCCTTGCCCCGACCATCCGTCTCGCCGTCTGTCTCGCGTGTGTTTGAGCGAAAAGCACAGGAGACTGCGCCGCCGATGACTTCAGGACTCGATCTGAGCGCGCCGCCCAGTGGGAGGGGAGGAGCTGGGAATGGAGGAGGGACGGGGAGGTGGGGGAGCAATGGTGAGGACGACTTGGAGCAGGTGAGCAGGATTCTTTTGGCTGAGCGTGACTGTCAAGATTCTGTGTGGCTTTGGCCGGGCGGACCAGGCGTTTCCTCTCGAAGTATCGCCCGCTCACTGCTCGCACACTCCTCCGACCGAGTTCTCGGTCGTGCCATTCTTGCCTGAACTGATTGCTGACGTCGCTACACTGCGCAGGACATCGCCCGCTCCCGCGCCGAACGAGCCTCCCGCCTTACGACCCTCCCCTCTTCCGACACACGCGACACCGCTTCCGCCCGTCAGAACATCCTCAACCTCGTTTCAGCGGGCCAATCCTCCCTCTCTGGCTCTTCCGGCTCAACTCCCTCGTTGGCGCAATTCATGGGCGGAGGAGCGCAGCGTAGGACGCACAAGGTTGGGACGGGTATGACGGATCTCGAGAGGGAGGAGACGGAGAAATTGGAGAGGGAGATGGCTGCTACGCGGGCCAAGTGGGCGGCGAAGACTGGTGGTGCGGCTGAGAAAGAGGAGGAGAGACCGGCGGGAAAGGGGATGAGTTTGGCGAGCTTGATGATGGGCAAACCGACGGGTGCGAAGGAGTCGCCTGTCGCGGCCAAAGTCGCACAGCGGTGGCAGCCGCAGTCGCCTGCCGAGTCTACAAGCGACAAGGCGGTTGATACGACTCCCGCCGCTTCGCTCGTCGAGGCCAAGGTCGTCTCTCGCTCGCCGCCTACCACTTCTTCCGCCGACGCCCAGCCCTCTTCTCCACCCAGTCAGGCTCAGTCTACCGCGCCTGTACCCTCAACCGCGACCGATTTCGGCTCCCGCTCCTCCCCTCCGGCCTCCTCCGCAACAAACAGCTCCACTCTTACTCGCCTCCAAAGCTCAAACATCGTTTCGGACAGGCTGAAGTGGTCGCAGTCTTTGCAGCAACCTGACGAGCTGTCGAGGACGCCGGCGAGCCCGGAAAAGAAGCGAGGGAGCGTGGCGGAGCGGTGGGGACGGGATGAGGCGGGTGGGTTGGCGAAACAGTCGGTTGATGACGGGACGGGCGCGCTGACTGGGCAAAGGGGAACAGACGAGAAGCGGGTGGGGGAACTGATGAATGCTGAGATTGAGGCTGCCAAGGTCGAGAAGGTCGACGAGGAAGACTTGCCGGCATCGCCCGTGGCTGAGAACGTCGTGCCGAAGCTTGTGCATGTGCGTGATTCTATACCACTACAATCTGCTACCGGCAGATGTGGCTAACCCAGCTTCACCGCGCACAGGTCACTCGCGACCGCGCTCGCCCGACGAAGTCGACGCCTCGTTCCGCTCCATCGTTGTCATCCGACCAGTCATCTGCTCCTACGGTCCGAGACGCTCCTGCTGCTTCGGTCGAGGCGCCTGCCGCCCCCACAGCAACGGAACCAGCCGGCCAGAAGAGCTACTCGAAGCCTTCCTGGCAGGGCGCGCCCATCAGCGTCAAGGATCCGAGCACATCGTCTTCTGCAGCTGCTACGCCAAACGAACCTACGCCAGAACGTCGCTACACCCGTGGCGTCGCCCTTCCCGGCATGTCTTCCTCCGCTTCGCCTGCTCCCACCGCCTCGCCCAGCTTCACACCCCAGTCCTCCCGCCAGCCTTCGATCTCTTCTTTCCCCTCAACGCCTAAAGCAGCCGACTCCCAACCTCCTCCTTCTCCGGGTCGCGCCTCCGTCCGCGACTTCGCCAAGCGCTGGTCGCAAGTCTCGCAGGAGTCTTCGGCCGCCGCGAAGAACTTTGAGGCGCTTGCGGCGATCAAGGCGTCGTATGGTGTGAGGGTTGCGCCCTCGAGGCAGGCGTCGATGCCGGTTGAGCAGGCGCCGAAGAAGGTTGAGGAGCCGGTCAAGAGCAAGTCGGTCGAGGTGCGGCCTGCAGAGTCAAAGCCGTCTTCGGCGCCGGCAGCACCTCTTCAGCATCCTGTGCGTTCGGATGAGCCACATGCACCTGCTCGACCGGTTCAAGCCGCAGCACAACCGACTCGCACCGCTTCTCCTCCTCAGCTAGCGGTACCTGCAGACAAGACTGCGACGCCTGCCACGACTCCCAGTCAGACGACGCTCAAGCAGACTTCTCGACCCGACACAGCCTCAGCCGCCGACGACATCGTCTCCTTCCTCATCTCGCACAAGCCGACCGCCGTCCACCTTCCACCCGGGGAGACCGCCTCCCTCGACGTCTTCCACCTCAACTCGCCAACCGACGACCCGCACCCTATCGACCACAACCACATCCTCCACCAAACCGAGATCCTCGGTATCGTCCATCGCGCCGAACCACCCAACTGGTCAGGTGACGAGGCGGATTTGCGGACGAGCGTGTGGGTCTGGCGAGGGAATGAGGCGGTCGAGACAAGGCGGACGAGGGAACGGATCGAGCGGCTGAAGGAGAAGACGGGCGCGGAACCGCTCGAGGTCAAGTACCGGCATGAACCGCCTGCGCTGGCTGAAGCCTTCGCAGGGCAGTTGACCATCTGCAAGGTACGTCGCCGCCTTTGATTCCGATGAGTATGCGCTGATGTACGCTCGTGTAGGGCGCGCGAGACGCTTTCGACCATCTCGCCAAGCGCTTATTCTTGGTTCGCTCGGAGGACGGCGTCGTCTACGTCGAGGAGACCGACCTCGTAAGTTCCTTTCACCTATACATTCAAGCGCGCTCGCTTACATTCTGTCTCTACAGTCCGCCCGCTCAATCTGCTCCGGCTTCTGCTCGACCTTCTCAACCCTGGGCGAGGTGTTCGCCTGGCTTGGGGAAGGCTCAAACGAGCTCGAGCGACAGGCGTGCTGTGAATTCGCCGAGTCCATCGCAGACGGCAGGACCGTCACCATCTTGGCGGAAGGCGAGGAAACGGCGCTATTCTGGCTCGAGGTGGGCGGAACGGAGTACGCCTCTGCTCAGGTATGTAGCTTCACGCCTTCGCGCTGAACACTTTACTCACTCTCGCTCGCTTCGCAGTACTGGCGATACCGCCCTCACTACACCGGTCGCGTCTCGGTCGTCCACCTCGACTCGACTTCGCGCCCCAGCTTCGCCCTCTCGCCATCCCTCGAACTCTCGCCCATTCGAGTATCTCTTGTCGACGCCGCTCCTCACGAGATCTGGATCGTCGTCCCATCTTCCGCGACGGAGCGGAAAGACGACATCAAGCTCGCGCTCGACGCTGCGGAGCGCTTGTCGAAGAAGTGGGTCCAGCGTGGGCTCCCGAGCAGGACTCCTTACCATGTGAGACGTCCTTCTTGGCTGCTCGCGTCTCGCCGAAGGCTGGCGCGGTGGGCATCTCCTCGCTGACATCTCGCTCGCATCGTCGGCAGTTTCTCTCCTTCCCGTCCCTCATCCCGCGGGATCTCCTGTTCCTCTCCCGCCAGCTCGACTTTGCGCCACTGAACGATGGCTCGTCGCCAAGCAAAGTCAACGTCTATACGGCTGACGAAGCGAAGGAGACCTGGCTTGCGTAGACGGCACTCGGCCGACTTGCAACTTTACTTTGTTCGCATGCTCGTTCGGCGGAGTCCCACTACTACGAGCTCCCGAAGAGCCTTGATTCTGTTGCTATCGATGAACAACTTGGCGAGGAACATCCGGCCATTCTCCGGTGGTTGCGGAAGCGAGCGAAGGCGCTTCTTCCTCTCGCCCTCGTGGCCCGTTCAGGAAATATCGCATCGTTCCGCCGCCCACCTTGCGCCCACCTTTCGGGCTCGCAGCCGAGTGTTCTCGCTTGCTGATGGGATATGCGATGGCGGAGTACTTGCGGGAGGATGCGATATTGCAGTCTTGAACAACCTTGTTTTGACGACGAGAGACAAAGACGAGTACACCAATGGATGGAATGAAGGGCACGACAACGGGAGAGACTTGAGGACCGGGACGGAGGGAAAATGCGAGGATGCGGGTCGAGCAAACGATAAAGAGCGAGGGAAGGGAAGGGTGTCTACTGGCCGAGCAAGGTGAACGGCTCTTGTGGCGATGCGGAGCAGCCGATGGTTGGCGTCAATGATGGGGAGAGCGGGAAGTGCTGCTGGGGCGAAGACGAGTCGAACGGGTTGGGCGCCGCGAGCCACTGGTCCATTCCTTCGACGACGACCTCCTCGAAGGCGAAGGGCGGAGTCGGGAGGGCGAGCTCGCCTGCGTCGGCGCCGGCGATGAAACTATTGAATGGCGGCGAGAGGGCGAAGGAGAAGTCCAAGAAAGCTGGTTGGTGGAACTCCGGCGCCGACCGCTCGCAGACTGCCGTTGGCCAGGGCGCGCCTCCTTCAACAGGCGTCTCCAACCATGTCATGGGCGTCGAGCGGAAGAGCGACCAGGCCTCCGAAGCCGCTGGCGAAGGCGTCGGGAGCGAGTCGCAAGTCGAGAAGGGCGACAACAGCTGTGTGGTCGGGGTAGTCGAGTCGGACGAGGCCTCGGATGTGGTGAGCGAGAGCGGCGGCAAGAGTACTGAAGGGGTCGTGTAGCCCAAGGACGAGACGCTGGCGGGCGGACTGGGAGGGAAGACCATCGGCCCGTGCGACTTGTCGAGGTTCGACGAATCGCCGTCACCGGTCTTCCTACGCGAAGTTGCAGGCTGGTAGCGGTAGTCTGCGGCCGAAGGCTAGTCAGTGAGAGTGAAAAGCAGAAACGTAACCTTCGCAACGTACCAGGGTGTCGCCGGTAGTGCTCGGCTTTCTCCTCGTCCGCTTGGCAAGCGTAACGTTCCCTGACCTCGAGGGTCTCTTCGCGCCACATCGAGGCAATCATGCGAGCTGCGAGCGAAGCGGACGACGAGGTAAGCGAAAGCTCGGCGAAGCGCGAGGAGGACGAGCGAACGCACAGAGATCCGACTGAGGCAGTCGCTGACCGGACGGCGTGACAAAGTCCGACAAAGCCCTAATCTGAGCGGAGCGGTAGATCATGAACGAGTTGCGCGGGCGGGGGATGTGACCCGGTTTCGACGCCTTGGAGCGTTTCCGCTTTGGCGCGGGCGAGACGGGCGTGGGTGGTGCGGCGGGGAAGTCGGTCGGCGCTGGGAGACCCGTGTAGTCGAGCAAGAGAGGCGAGACCGGCGAGGGAGGGTCGGGAAGGAAGAGGGGTTCCTTCTTGGCCGGCGCTCCTTTGGCTGAAGCGGCGGCCGTCGCCTTCTTCGTCCTTGCCGACCTGCGACGAGGCTGAGGCGCCGGTTTCACAGGTTTAGGAGACGCCGTCGACTCCTTGAGCTTCGCGACAGCGGCGTCGAACGAGGTAACAACGGAAGGAGTCGTCAAGCGACTTGCGTGGGTGGAGCCTTCGCTGGCGCCAAGGACATCGCCGGGCGTCATTTGACCGACAGAAGGGGACGACGAAGGAGCGGGCAGGACGAAGACGGGGACGGCTTTTGGGGCGGACGCAGGAACGGAGGTGGACGCTTGAACGTCGAGGTGGAGGAAGTGCGGCTCGCTGGCGACGTCTCCTGTCGTCCAAGTCGATGAGGGCGAGAAAGGTGACATGCAAGTCGTCGAAGGCGAGAGCTGCAAGGCGTCGGTACCGTAGTCGTAGAGCGAGGGAGACATCGTTGGTCTGACGGAGGAGGGCGAAGTGAGACGAGGGCTTCGGCCGACGCTGTGAGTCGACGTTTCTTGGAGAGCCAAGGGAAGAGGAGGCGAAGCGATTGTTCAGGATTTCCTGCAGGGCGAGCAGTCAGCGTCGCGGCATTCGGAGGATTGACGCAAGCTGGCTGCTCACGGCCGAGACTCTGGGATCGTGGGAGTCCGCGACAGCCTGATAGCGCACGCAAGTCAAGGTTCGCAGCGCTGACGGCTGGAGGGCGAAGGGGAGAGCAAAGGCGACAAGGACGAGCAAGCGAGCGGATGCAAGCAGGAGCGGCCGGGGTGGCGATCCTGGTTCGTGCGGGCCGGCAGCCTTATATGCATAGCGAGGCACGCAACTCGTGGCCCCCTAGAAGATGAAAACCCCGCAGCGCTTCGAGTGCCCGCCTCTGCGGGCGAAAGTGGCGCGACGAGGAAACCCCCGACGGCGAAGGTGCGCTGCCGTGCAGGGCAGGTGTGATGAGCCGAGCCGTACGGATACGCTGATCGAGAACTGGAGAACAATGGCCATCGATAGCGCAAGTGTTGAAACGCCAACCTCGCCATTCTCCGACCGAGTCCACGCTGCTTGCGCTGGGCACGCTGCGTGCTCAGCTAATGGGACGCATGGGTCCGCCGTTGGCCTCTACCCTCCGCCGTCCAGCACGCAGTCCTTCCTCTTCAGCAAAGAGCTTATCCTCCGTCCAGCAGCAGAATTTAAGGAGAGTCGGCGTCCAACCCGTCGACGGGAGCAGCCCGCCCGCCGGCTTCGGGAGCGTCGAGCTGGCAGGGGAGCGCTGGTGCTGCTGCTCCTGCTGCCGTCGCGCATTCGAGCGTCGCAAGATCGCAAGGCGAAGATCACCAGAGAGCACAGGCCATGCACCAGACTCCGCGAGGGCCCAAAGCGGCATGCGCGCTTCGCTCGCTCGTCGGTGCTGTACCACCAACAGGTGCATCAACACGTTCCCCCCGAGTGTTCCCAGCGACCACCAAACGCAGCGAAAGGCAGGAACGAGGAGCGAGAGACAGAGCGGAGTCTCCGTCCGTCTCGCTCGCTCGCCAAGGAAGAATTTGCAGCGTCGGACGGCAGCCCGACCAGCAGCTGCGGACGCCCGTCTCACCCGACTTCTCGTCCGGCGCCGTTCGTCCGGTACGAGAGGCCTGGTGTTCTTCGCTTCCTCGCTCGCTGCCGCCCTGCGACTCCAACTCTCCCATTTCTCGCGCTCGTGTCATGCACCCGACTGCGCGCAAGCGACAGAAGCTCGAGCGCACGGCCGCGAGCGACGGCGGCAACCTTGTCGAGGCGCTGTCCCGACTTCGAGCCCAGGCAGCCTTCTTCGCCGCACCCGGCACAGACGCAGGCGAGCTCCAGCGCGAAATCTCGACACTCAACCAGCGCATCGCTGCCTTTGAGGGCGCGCTCGCGCAGGCCGAGGCGGGTGAGGTCGACAGGCTCATCGGTCGCGGGTGGAAGGACGAGTTGGACGGGACGGGCACGCTGCTGTGGAACAAGTCGACTGCGCTCAAGCTCGCACAGGATGACGATGGGCAGGACCAGCGCGTCAAGCTCGGCGTCGTGGCCAGCCGTGCGCTCCAACTCGTTTGCTCCCCTCGAAACGAAGCTGACCTCGCTCCACTTCAGTTCGCCACGCCGGCTATCGCCTGATCCGCCTCGGTGCTCTTGAGCCTCTCACGACCGAGGGTACGCCCGACGCGAAGGGCTCGCGAGCGAGGCCGAACTCACTTCGCGCCTTCTCCCAAACAGCTCGTCTTTCGCACCTCTCGCTCGCAACCAAGACTGCCTCTGCTTTCCTCGACGCCAGCCAGACGAGCAAGGCAGACAAGCTCCTCGTCGACGCAGCCGCCCTCGCTGCCGACCTCGACGACGAACCCGCTCAAGATCCTGCTTTCCTCTCGGAGCGCGCCAAAGCCCTCCTCGCTCACTACTGCTGCCGCATCCGCTCAGCCAACGCGAGCGGCGTCGACACTATTGCTTGCTGGGTTCGCGAAAAAGCGCGAGACCTGGTCCAGCAGGGGAACCTCCCGCGCCGGGAGGTCCGCCCAGAAGCGCATGTCAAGTGCGAGCTTCTTGCTTACTCTCCGTTCTTCCAGACCGACAAAGTCGCCCGTGTTGCCTACGAGGTCGGAGCTGCTGCCATTGCAGGCGAGAAAGGCGCTGCGGGACAAGACAGCAGCTCTGCCATCGACTGGCTGCAATGCGCGCTCGCTGTTCTCGAACGCGACGGTCAAGACGACGCTTCGCGCGCGCTGCAGGTGCGTTGACCGTTCAGTTCAGTGAGCAGGTGGCCGGAGCGCGCTGAGAAACTTGGGATCCTCCAGCTCGCTACCCTCAAGACTCTCGCTCAAGCCTATCTCGTCGCAACGCCTTCGCCCGAACACTGGGAAAAAGCGGAGGAGACGATCAAGCAAGCCCTTGTGCGTGGTTAGCCTGCGCGAAGTACTGCGCCGTTCTGATCGTGATTGCGCAGGATCTTGAACCGTCCGCTTCGCTCGCTCGCCGCCTTGTCAAGCTTGTCATCGCTCGCAACGGCAGCGATGCTGAGATTACGCAAGGTGCGTTGTCTTGCTAAGGTCGTCAAGTCGTCAGCTAAAGGCAAGCTGCGCAGCCTGCCTTGCCGCCTTCAAGGTCATCTCGCAGAACCAGGATGAGATCAGGCGGTGCGTCTCGACCCGCTTGCCGACATCGTTTGCTGACAGGTTCCCGCCTCTACAGCCTGATCGCGACGCTTGAAGCCCTCCCTGCGTCGAAGTACACCCGCTCGTCCTAGGGTCCGGGGCTCAAGTCTGACATCTTCCCCTTCTTAGGCGCCCTCTCCGCTCCCAGCTTCTCACAGATGCCGTCGAGATGCTCAGCACTGACGCCAGCAACGCCGGCGCGAACAGCTTGGTCATCTCGCAGATCCTCCTCGCCTCGTTCGTGCAGGCGCAGGACACCGACAAGCGTCACCTCGTCAAGATGCTCGAGAGGCTCGACAAGAGTGCGTGCATCTGCACTTCCTGCAGACTGAGATGCTGATGTCTTCGCTTTGGCAGACATGCCCGCCTTCCGCCTCGACGCGAACGACGCCTTCACCTGCATGACCTACGTCTGGCGCCACGGGGAGAAGGCTGCACAGGACCGTCGTCCGTCCGATGCAATCGGCTGGTTCTTGCTTGTCCAGCACGCCGCTTTCGGTTCGCTGGAGACGAAGGTCAAGGCCAAGGTCCTCAGGTTCGTCAAAGCTTCGTCTGCTTTGCGTCGGCTGAGCTTGACGTACTCGGTTGCAGGAAAGCGGTCGTCGAGATGCTGTCGGAGAAGGACTCGGCTAGCGCTCAAAAGGTCCTGCAAGACCCGGTCCTGCTCGAAGACGTCGCGAAGAACCACTTCCTCCGCTTCCGCTCCTTCCTCGACGAGCCAAGCAAAGGTGCCTTTCGCTCGGTCACGTTGGCTCGTGCACCACTGATCATTGAATGGCTAGCAGCTCTCGCCTGCCTGCAAGCAATGACCCAATCCTCCGACTTCTCGCCCAAACTCCTCATGTGGGCGCACAAAATCGCTTCGGAGCAGGGCAAGCAGGACCTCGCGGCCAGGATCCTTTCGATAGTCGGTCAAGTCTGCAGCGAAGGTGCGGTCGCAGACGGAACCGATATCGACTTGATGACCTTGACCCGGTGAGCTGGAAGTGCGACTTCGTCAAGGGCGAGCGAGTACTGAGTCTTTTCCGCGATCTGGGAGTGCAATCGCTCGCAAGCACCTCGACGCTCTCGCCAAAACGTCGCCCGAGGACCAGTCCGCACCGCTTTCCTCGCTGCCCACCCCGACACGCCTAACGCTTACTAATTCGTACAGGGAAACGAGCGTCCGCGCCCTCGTCAAGCAGCTCGAAGCCGGTGCGCGGCACGTACTTCCCGACCGAGTGCGAGCCATGCTGACCACAGGTACGCAGGCTACGACCTCGCTCGCTCACTCGCCGGTCAAAACGATCCGGCTTCTTTGCGCAAAGACCTCGCCTGGTTCTACAAGACAGGTGCATGGGCTCGTCATCAACCTTTCGTCCGCGCTAACGTGGCGGCGTGCAGCCTTCAACCACTGCGTGGAGCACGGCGCCGGCTGGAGCAGCGAACTCTCGACGGCCGTCTTCGCCATCACCGCCAAGCTGATCGAATTCGACCTCGAGCTCGCCAAGATTTCGGATCCTGTCCTCAAGGGTAAGCTCGTTGCTTGCAGGCTCGCGACGTTTCGCGAGAGGGTCGCCTCGGCGCGCAAGGCAAAGGGGGAGAAGAAGGTGTGTTCGCCCTTTACGCCCGCCTGCCTGCTCGAGCGTCATGTTTGACCATGGTGTGCAGACCGAAGAGTACCGCCAGCTTCTCGCCGAGGCCGACAAGCTCATCAAGCAACTCGAACGCTCGCCGGCTTCTCAGTCTGAGAAGGCCAACGAGTTGCTCGCCGCTGCGTACGCCCTGAAGGTCGAAGCGCATGCTGAGCTCGACGAATGGAGCTCCCTCGTCTCGTTTGTCGATGTAAGTGAGCATGCGCTCGGCCACCGCGGAGGAGAAGCTGACCTTCACGCCGCAGGCCGCCGAACTTTCGACCTCTCGCTTGCCCATCTCGGTCGTCAAGCTCGTCGTCGACAGGGCGACCTCGACCGCCTCGACCTGTCCTGCCGATGCGATGTCGAAGATCCTTCGCAAGACGCTCGCGATCCTCTACAGCAGGAGGGAGGTCGAGATGTGCGTCCACTACCTGTTCAGCTCTAGCCCACGTGGTTGAAACGAAGCGCTGATGGCTCGCACGATGCGGACGTACAGCGCTGAGATGGCTCTCTGGCTTCGCCTCATCGTCTCGGTCCTCATCCACCGCAACGACCGCGACCAGGCACTCGCCTACGTCGAGAACGCCGCGCACTTCATCGCGCAGCACCAGGTGCGATCGCGCAGTGCTTTCGCAAAGCCGCTGTGCGACTGACTTTCCTCGTTCTTCGACTCGACAGGACGATTTTCCGGAGGACGAGGCGAACTGGTTCGTCCACCTCATCCCTTCGACTCTACGCCTCGCACCCCACGAATCTTGACTCTTTCCTCTTTCTACAGGATGCTCGCGACGGCCTGGGACGAAGGTACACCCATCTCTCTCTCCTTTCTCCCGCCTCGCAGAGCTGACGCTCGATGCTTTCCCCGATCGCGCAGGCCTCGACTTGTTCGCTTCCGCCTCCCCCATCGCAGGCGAGAAGTGGTGCTCACTTGGCTTGAACATCGCGAAGACTCTTGAGGGAGTCACGGAGGCCGAGGCACTCGAATCGGGACTTGCAAAGCAGGCGCGTCCGGTCTCTATCGAGTACTGGGTCGTCCGACTGACGAGGAACTGCCCGCGAACAGATGGAGACGAACCTCGCGGAGCTCAAGTCGAGGTACGGCGGGAGCGGGAGCGAGGCGGGCGGAGACGAAGACGTCGAGATGGCCTGACGCGCTTGTCGTCGCTTGTTGACGGTAGAGGCGGGATGGAGTCGCTTTGCAAGAACGCTTGAACTTCCCCCGCAGCTGATCTCGAGAGGAAGGCCGGAGAGGAGATGAAAGGTAAGATATCGAACGAGTGTTGCAGTGTCTTTGTACACGTCCCAGTCAGGAGAAGGAGACGAAGAGAAGAAGGGAGAGACTGTCCGTAGAGGCGACAAAGGTAGGAAGAGATCGGTAAGACGGAAGCTGGAGAAGTCGAGATAGAACGAAGGCGGAAGAGGCGAAGGAGAGTGTCGATAAGGGGAAGCGAGCGACGAGTCGAGGCGGCCTGCGCAACGACGTGCCGATGGTATGATAGCCGAGACGATAAGACCGATGGCGAAACCGTCCCCTGCCTCCTGATCGAACTCCTCCTTCGCTCGACATCTTCCGCCAGACGCAACCTCTTCGCGCAGCTCGCGGCGATTAGACGAGGACCGCCATCGCGCCCGCACCAGCCGCACCGACGACCGCCGCAATGACCGCGCCCAGCACACCACCCTCGACGTTCCTTCCCGCCGCGCTCTTCCCGCTCGACTGAGCATTCGCGGCGCTTCCGCCCGTCGCCGTGTTCGAGGCGTACGAGACGGTAGCCGAGATGGAGCCTGATGCGCCGGACGAGAGGGGGATCGAGAGAGAGGCATCGGTTGAGACCGCGGTGGGGGCGGCGAGCGAGACCGACAGTGTGCCGGCGACGTATTGCGAGAAGTTCTGGTAGCACGCGCGCGCGGTCAGTAAATGCGCGAGTATGAGAGGGAATGGGCGCAGAGACGCACGGGGTAGGTGTACTCCTTCTCGACATACGGCTGGGTGTTGTTGTACGCAACGCCGATGGGGACGATGTTCTTGAAGGCAGCCTTGATCTTCGGGTAGTTCTCCATCATGAGCGCCATGGTGTCGTTGTTGAGCTCGTGCGTGAGGACGATGGTGCCGTTGTTCGCGAAAGTCCCGTTCTGGCCGGCCTTGATAATGTCGGCGTAGTTGGCCTCGATCTGCGAGCGCGGCAGCGTCGCGATCTCGTAGTCGAACGTGTTGTCCCTCCAGATCTGCGTCTGCATGCCGAGCGAGTTGGCGATATAACGGACCCGGTCGTCGACGTCGCCGTAGGGAGGTCGCCAGCACTGGACGGTGACGCCAAGGACGTCCTTGATCGCTTTCTTCGAGTAGTAGAGTTCGGCGAAGACCTGCTCGTTCGTGAGGGACGTCATGTAGCGGTGAGACCAGGTGTGGGCGCAGCTGTGGGACGAGGGTCAGATTGGGCGTTTCGGGAGGAGGTGCGAGAGACGGGACGCACATCTCGTGGCCGTCGGCAAGACCGCGCTGAGCCTCGAGAGGCCAGTCGAGGACGTTCGAGCCGATGTAGAACATCGTGGCTGAGCGCGACGGAAGCAACGAGTCAGTCGACGACTTCGGGAACTCGAGACGGTCGCCCGAACGCACCCTTCTGCTTCTGCTCGTTCAGGAAATCGTAGAACGCGTTGTGCGAGCAGTTGGGTCCGTCATCGAGGGTGAAGCTGCGAGACCAACGGGGAGAAGGTCAGTTTCGCTCCTCGCAGGCGATGAGGGCGAAACGAGCTGGACGCACCCCCAAGTCTGCGGTTCGGGAACCATGTAGATGTCCTGAGGAAGGCCTGCGAGCTTGGGCGTGTGGCATTGCTTCCAGGTCCACCTGCGGATTCGAGAATCAAGATGAGCATGCGAGATCGGTTTCCAAGGCGAAGGTACGGAGCGCACCAGCAGTCGGGGTCCACAGCGCCGTTGTCTGCATCAAGGAAAGGAGTCAGGACGATCTAGAGATGACAGGGCTGGCGGGGACAGCAGGGCGAAGGAGCGAGGACGAACAGTTGACGCCGGTGAAGTCGCCCGTGGGCTGCGTTCAAGCGAAACGATCAGCCTTGTTCCGCCATCAAACCAGAGAACGCAAGAGACGCACGGTGCCCTTGGGGTTGATCTTGGGGATCGAGCCATTGAGCGCGTTGAAGAGCGAGACGACCTGGGGTTGGGCGGTCCTGTACGGCGCGAGCCTCGGTCAACCCTGCATTCCCAAGATAGGCCTCGCTGTCCACACTGCGCCCTCGAATACGCCCCGTCGAGCGCGGGTGCAAGAATAGCGACGGCAGGGTTCGGTGTTTGGGCTCACGAGAGGTTGGCGATTTGCCAGATGGGCGGGAACACCTTCTGCGCTTGCTGTGGGCGGGTGTGTGCATTGTCAGCAGTCTTCCTGGCCACGCACGAGCATCGAACTCACCAAGGCAGCGACGGGCGGGTAGCTGTACACCTGGCACTCCTGAGCAGGGTTGGTGACCTTGGCCGCGCTCGCCTCGTCGGTCCTCGTCGCGGTCTGGACGGTCGGCGCAGCGGCTGCAGGGCCCGTCGCGACCGTGGCAGCGCCCGCAGGCGCCGAAGCGAGCGCACTCGACGCGGCGGCGCGGGCGGCAATCGCGTTCTTGCGGATGAGCTGGAACTCCTTCTCGGTGCCACAAGCGACGGCGAGAGATGCGCCCGATGCGACTGCTAGAGCGAGAGCTGCGCGCATCTTGGATAGCTGTACAGACGAAGAGAGCGAGAGAGGAGCGAGGCGAACGGACGAGGGAGGGTCCCTGCTGGCCAACGCGCGCGGGGCCCGGGTGAAATTGCTGCGAATACAACGAACGCGCTAACTAAGGCCGCCATTACAACGGGTTGCTATTCTCGCATACAAGTATTCTTCAGGCGAGAGGAGCAAGGGAGGGATTCTGATTGGTGCGAAGACTCCGGCTACGATTCGCTACTTCGCAAGTGCATCGTTCGTACGAGGACGACTTTGCTCGACAAGACTTTGAAGAAGAGAAGGGCGTCCCCCTGAGCCGTCGGCACGCACAGCCGACCTCCCCACACCGACCGCTGCTCCACACTCTCCTCGTCGCTCTGCCAGCTTCACACCACTCGGGCGAGCTCGAACGCTTGTTCAGACTGCTGTTGGGATCCTACCGACTACCGACCTACCGTCAGCGACCCCTGCGAAGGGCCCGTCAAACACCCCCGCCTATACCCCTCTCCCTCGTCCCGCACCAGCAACATGGCCGAAGTAGACATGTGCGCGCCTCGAGGACTCTGACCTGACCCGCGCTGACACTAGCACATGCTCAGCCACCCCGTCATTAAGGCTCGCACGAATGACGAAGCGGTCCTAAACCGCCATTCCCGCAACTTCACCCAGAATTCTGCGAATGGCGGCGCCAAAGCAATGCTTTTCGCCGCCGGTCTCAAGGAGGAAGACATGGACAAGCCGCAAATCGGCATCGGCAGCGTCTGGTACCAGGGCAATCCCTGCAACAACCACCTCGACGACCTCGGGAAGAAAGTCCAGGAGGGATGCGCTCTCGAGGGTCTTGTTGGACTGAGGCATGCTACCGTTGGCGTCAGCGACGGGATGACGCAGAGCACCCCCGGGATGAGCTACTCGCTGCCGTCGCGCGACCTCATCGCCGACTCGCTCGAACTGATCGTTCAGGCGCAGGCCTACGACGCTGCCGTTCACAGTGCGTCGACCCGCTATTTTCTGCCTTACACCGAGGTCTGTCAGCGACGAATGCATTCGTCCAAGTGAGCTGACTATCGTGGGTTGCGCGGTCGAACAGTCTCCGGCTGCGGTTCGTCTACGTTTCCCTGTTCTCTCGCCCCTGCTCACTCAGCCCCCGTGCAGACAAGAACATGCCCGGAACCTTCATGGCCGCCGTCCGCCACAACAAGCCGACAATCCTCGTCGTTCGTCCTCCCTTCTCATCCTAACCTTCGCAACTCGCGCTGACCTCGTCCGACTGCTTGTCGCCACAGTATGGCGGAACGATTCTCCCTGGGAAGGCGCATGAGGATTGCCCGGCGCTGGGACTCAAGGTTGGTGATCCGCTCAACATCGCCGGTGAGTACAGCTTCGACCTTCTTCACCTCTTCCTTCCAGAAGTCCGCTCGGCGGAGGTACTGACTGCATCGACGCCGTAGACGTCCTCGAGGGCTACGGTTCCGTCCTCACGGGCAAGATCTCGGAAGCCGAACACCAATCCATCATCCGCGCTGCGTGCCCGGGCTCAGGCGGTTGCGGCGGAATGTTCACGGCCAGCACAATGGCGTCGACCCTCGAGGTCCTCGGCATGACCCTCCCTTACTCTGCTTCGACGCCGGCCGAGTATCCGCAGAAGTTGCAGGAATGTCTGAGGGTTCCGAAGGTGCTGAAGGAGCTGATTAGGAAGGACTTCAAGCCTTTGTGCGTCTTCGGTCAACCCATAAGGGGCCCATGGAGCTGACAGGCGAAGGTCGACAGGGACATCGTGACTCGCCAGTCTTTCCTCAATGCCATCACCATCGTCAACGTTCTTGGCGGCTCAACGAATGCCGTCTTGCACCTCCTTGCTATGGCGCGCTCGGCCAACATCGAGCTCACCATTGACGACTTTAGGACGGTGCGTCGCGCTTCCCTCCTGCTTCAGAACAGCTTCTTACGCACACTCCCTCAGATTGCGGATCGCACGCCCGTGCTCGGCAACTTCAAGCCCTCTGGGCAGTACATGATGGAGGTGCGCTCGTCGGGCGTCAAGCAGCAACATCCCGAGTTGACCTCCCCAAACTCGCAGGACTTGCACAACATCGGCGGAATTCCCGCTGTCGTCAAGTTCCTCCTCAAGGAGACCGACTTGCTTGATGGGTCGACGATGACCGTTACGGGCCAAACCCTAGCCGAGAACGTCGCAGACGGTTCGTCCTCCTTCCTTTCGTGCGTTCCTCCAGCTGACCTTTGCTTCCTCGTAGCTCCCGACCTCGACTTTGCGACACAGTCGATCATCACGCCTCTCGCATCGCCCATCAAATCCACAGGACACATCTGCATCCTGCGCGGCTCGCTCGCGCCCAACTCGGCCGTCGCGAAAATTACCGGCAAGGAAGGTCTGTCGTTCTCTGGACCGGCGGTCGTCTTTGATGCGGAGGCGCCGTTCTATGGAGCGTTGGAGAGGGGGGAAGTCAAGGAGGGGATGGTCGTGGTACTGCGGTACCTCGGACCGAAGGGCGGACCTGGGTGAGCTCGGCTTCGCTTCCATGGCCTCCTCTACTGCTAACGCACTTCGTCAAACTGTGTAGGATGCCGGAAACGCTCGGGCCGACCGCTGCAATCATGGGCGCTGGACTTGGTGGCAAAGTCGCGCTCATCAGCGACGGACGCTTCTCGGGCGCCTCGCGCGGCTTCATCGTCGGTCACGTCACTCCCGAAGGTTCGTACTACCTTCTACCTCCCGCTCTGGGCCGGATGAGCCATACTAACCCGTCTACCTGCGCAGCTGCCGTAGGCGGCCCCATCGGCCTCGTCCGCGACGGCGACCACATCACCATCGACGCGGTCAACAAGACTATCGACGTTGCGCTCAGGGAGGAGGAGTTGGCGGAGAGGAAGAAGAGCTGGACGCCGCCTGAACCGAGGTACAAGCGTGGAGTCTTGTATCGCTACGCGAGGGTGCGTCGCGCTCCGTCTTGCGCTTCCTTGCAGCAGGTCGATTCTCTGACTATGCTTGCGCTCGCAGGACGTCAAGGGCGCCGAGCTCGGCGCATATACCGACTGAAGAAGCGGGTCGAGAAGGCCAAAGGATTGTAGATAGCCTGCCAAAGACTGACCTCACTTCGCTTGCCTTGCCGTGATCGCTTGAGAGCTTAAGAGTAACTCTTTGCTCGGATGTTGCGGAGCAGAAGCCCAGTCGAAAGGAAGAGCGCTACTCTCGTACGCTCAACCCATCCCCGGCAAACTCGGCCACTCCCCGTCCTCCTGCAATAACGCGCCCCACTCGTCCGTCATCAACGAGTCACACCAGCCTTGCCACTCTGTCTGCAGCCAGTCTGGTAGCGCGCCTTCGGTCGGGGGAAGAGGCGGGATGGCAAGCGAGAGAGGGACTGGGAAGGTTGTCGGCGGAGAGGAGGTTGCAGAGACGTCGGCGGATGCGAAAGGAAGTGGTTCCTGCGCGAAAGTGGTCGCGGGAAGAGCGGGCGAGACGGAGTTGGCGGACGAGATGGTAGCGGAAGCTGTTCGAGCAGCGTCAGCTATGAATTTTATGGCGAGCTGACATGAAGATGCACCCGAGGAGTCCGTCACCGTGGTAGTCATCGCCGGCGCGAGGGGCACAGGCGAAGCCTGCCGAGTCGCCCGCCCGCTCGACACGCCCAGAATCGCCTGCTCCACCTCCTTCCCCTTCGCCCCAGCCGAGGGGACGTGCCGCCTCGCCGCAGCCTGCCACAGCAGAAACGCAACCTTGTGAACCTTGTGACGAGTCGCAAGCGGACCGTCCTTGATGCGCGAAGCCCAGGTGAAGAGGCCCTTGTTGACGGCTTCGAGGGCGCTGAGGTTGCGTAGGTCGCCGGTCTTGACGTGCTGGAAGAACCTACAGGGGGTAAATCAGCAGTGCCAAAGGTGTAGGGGAAAGGAAGTGAGCGCACTGGACGGACGCTGTCGCAACGTATCGAGGTCAACGAGTCGCTGGAGATCACAAAGAGAAGCCGAACGCACCCGACATCGTCAGCGCATAGAAAGCCGTATGCGAGATACTCAACACGCCCGGCGTCTGCAGCAGCCAGTCGATTGTGAGCTGCGTGCGGTTGACGACGGCGAACCAGCGAGCAGGCGAAGGTCGGAAGGCGATGCCGGAGGGTACGTCGCGATCTTGCTTGACGAAGGGGCGGAGGAAGATGCTCTGCGAAGGAGCACAACGTCAGAAAGGCTTTGCCGGCGAAGAGCGTGAGATTCCGGCTCGCCTCGAAGCAGGACAGCAAGGCGTGCAGGTAACCCGCTTGGACGGACGAGTCGGATCCGGCGAACTGCAACGACTCGGGTATCCGCGCGAGCCAGACATCGAAGTCGGTCAGGATCGTGCGCAGTTGCTGATCCGTTGTTCGGCCCAGTCGCATCCGGTTGAGGGCGCGCACTGCAGCTTCTTTCGTCAGTCGAAGCTGATTGCCATCGGCCAAAGGAAGGTACGCACCAGCGCGCTTCAGCAGCACGGCGAGCTTGAACTGCTCGACTAGATGGCGGTCTTGGTCGAACGGTTCCGACAGGTAGTCGTAGCAGTCGTCCAAGTCGATGATGCCGGGCTGACCGGAGCGAGCCGAGTACCTGCGAGCGCGCCGTCGCTTGTCAGTACCTCAAAGAGCTACGATAGAGGGCGGAGGGACGCACCAGCTATCGGAAAAGACGCAGCACATCCATACCCTCGTCCTCCGATTCCGCTCCGCCGTCGAGAGGTTCGCAGGCGGTCGACGGTGCAGACCGATGTCTTGCGACATCCGGACTGCGGCACTGGAGCGCATGAAGACGCGCGAGCCGGCGATGGCGTGGTTCGAGCCGTGAAGTTCGGGGCTTTGCGACATGACGAGGATGGCCTACGCGTACACTCGTCAGCGACAATTATGATGTAGTAACGATAAAAGGTTTGCGTACTTGTACGTTATCGAGCGAAGAATGCGAGAACGGATCAAACATCTCGACCGCCGTCGCGAGATGTGCCCTTACGTTATGGAAAAACTCGTACGGGTACTTCTCTGACAGCGCGGCGATGGCGCAGATGCTGAGGATGGCGAAGGGCGAGAGGGTGTCGAAGGAAGCGAGTTCTTCTTGCGAGTAGACGGGAAAGAGCGGCTGGACGTGTTTGGCGTAGTAGCGGATCACTAGCAGGTGAAACGTCAGCGAGTAGCGTGGAATGCGATCGGGGAGTGTACGCACGGTCAAGCACAAGTTCGCTCGTCAATTCCCCATGTGCCCGATGTACCGCCATCCCTCCCCCTCCGCCCGTCTGTATCGAGCCGTCGTGCCTATGCGCCAGTCCAAACTGTCTCGCAGCAACTTGCAAGTCTTCGGAAGGCTGGAGTTGTGCGAAGAAGTGGGTGAGAGAGGTTTCGCCTGTGTAGGGGGAGGGGTAAGCGAGGAAGGGGGAGGACAAGGCGGAGGAGTGGCGCACCGAGGACTCGCACGACTGGTGTATCTGCTTCTTCGTCTTCTGGCGAGGTCGCCCGCTCGTGCATGCGCTTCGAGACTCGGTCAACGCTGGAGAAGGCGGAACGTCAGCGAGAAAGTCGGAAGAAACAGCTGGACGACGGAGACGTACCACTTCGCCAGCATATCAAGTCCAGCAAAACTCCCCGTGAACGGCCGCGACGCCGTCTCCAGAGTCTCAACGAGCGGAGCGTCTGGCAAAGCGTTGGTAGCGGGCGAAGAGAAGGAGAAGTCGTTCGTGCCGATCTCGAGCGCTTCGAGCTTGGCTTTCTTCCGGGCGTCCATGCGTGCTGGTTGGATCGCTTCGCAGGTGAGGCCGCGCTACGAATGGGAATGTAGGTCAGCGAGCGACTCGAGCTGAAACGAAAGGAGGGAGACGGCGCACCTTTTGGCAACCGAAGCAGAACGGTGGGTCGCGGTCCGGCATGTACTCGCATTTGAGCTTGTGAGCACGACAGTAATCGCAGCTGGACGCACGCATGACGAATCTTCAGAACCCTCGTGGTCGGGACGAGCAGTGAGGAGGAGGGACCACTCACGCCCTGGGGTTCTTCTTCCGCTTCTTGCGCTCGCCCTGACCATCTGTTCCTCCTACTCCACCGTTCTCCGTCCCATACGCGTTCGTCCCGCCGTTATTGGGCGATGCCGACTCGGTAGAAGGTCCGGGAGAGGTGAAGACGGAGTGGGCGGTAGCGGCGGTCGTTGATCCGGCTGGTGAGCTGTCCAGCATCGTAAGCGAGCAGTAGCAACAAGTTCCGAGCGTTCCGACAGCGTGCAGAGTGTCGGAAAGGAAGCAACGCGGTCGCTCGAGTAAAGGCGTCCCGAGCAGGTAGCCGACCACGAGTTGTCCCCTCCCGGGCAGTCGACGAGAATATAGGCAGACGCAACAGCCTCGCTCGTGAAGGTACCGTACCATCCGAGTTCGCCCCAGGCTGGACAAGACCCAGTACGAGCCAGATCCGAGCGAGAATGCGAAAGAGATGTTACAACACGACAACCCGGCCTGACTGCCCTACCAGAACTTCCACCAGCTCTTCCCACTGCTCTTCAAGCCATCCGAACCAACCACCACCGGTCCTGCCCGCGCGACCGCCAATTCCCGCTCCAGCTCCTCAACCTTCTTCCCCAAGTCTTCCGCCTGCTTCTCCCGCGACAAGTACATGTAGCCGGTCTCGAGGGCGTAGTAGACGATTGAACCGAGTGCAAGGCAGTGCAGCATCGAAGGAATGAGGTTGCGGTAGAACTCTGAGGTCGCGTTTCGCGGTTTCGGCGTGCGGAGGGGTTGTTGGGGGTCGTGCGGGAAGCGAGGATCAGTCGAGGGGTCCGCTGGAGGTGTCGCATATCTTCGCGTGAGAAGCAGCTGCGCTGCTGGCCGTGTTCGTGCTCGTAGAGAGGGGATGAAGGTGGGGACAGTCGAGCGGGCGCTGTGAGAGGCGGGCGGTCAGCGGGCGTTCATGAAGGCCTGGACATGATCCACTCACCTCTTGAGCGCTGTTGACGAGTGTACAGCCCGGCTCAGCATGGTGATGTGATTTGCTCAGGATTGAGGAGCGACTTCGCCTCCAGGCGACCCTTGGGGCGCGCCATGACAGGCTGCTCGCTAGAACGCACGGCGACAAGGTTGCAGAGCTTCAACAAGCCTCGCTGAGTTGTGCTGGACGTGTCGCAGCGTCTCCCAAGCGGCTCGCCCGCTCCTGTTTCTCCTCATCAGTTTGCGACAAGGAGGAGGCCATACCGGCACTCCTCACCTACAGGGACGCGATACAATGCGCTTGCGGTCTCGATGGAGTCTCCTGCTTGTGCTCCGGCACTCGCCAACCGAGAAAGGCGCGCTCGGGACGCCCGAACGCGTCCTCTTGGTCCTTGGCGAAGTGCGAGGGTCCATCGTTTGGCATTGTCGCGCTCTCTCTTCCTCTTGCTTCCTGTTCGACTCTGCTTGTGCTTCTGACTGCTCCGTGGTATCTACCTGTGCGACCCACTTCTCGCACGACGTCTGGTCTCGCCATCCTCGTCCCATTCTACCTCACCAAACATCGGCTTGTCCGCGCACGAGCACACATTTCCGCCATGAAGTGGCTCGTCCTCGCATCCCTCGCGATCTCTCTCGCTCAGGCGCAGATCCACCGCGTCGCACCACACGCAGACCTCGCCAAACGCCAAGCCGCTTCCACTTCGTCGACTTCGCATGCCGCTGCGACTCGAACGGCGACGGGTGCAGCGACGGCGACGAGGAGTCCTGCGCAGACGGGTGGTGGAGGAGCTGTGCCTTCCAGCCCGCTCGCATCTCTGTGCGTCGTCCATCTCTCCTCTCTCTCGGGCACGCACGGTTCTCGTCGCCAAGGAGCAGAAAGCATACACTCGCAACTATTGCTGACTTCTCATCGTAATCACAGATCTAAGATCGGTACCGCAACGACGGCAGAGGCGACGCGGCCGTTGCCCACGACTTTCGCCGCAGGAGCGACCCCACCTGTTAAGGGTGCTCCTCCCCTGCCTGCGAGTGCGTCCTCGTGTCGAAGGCTCGAGCGATTACGACTGACCGACATCCACGCTGTGCAGTCAACCAGCTCAACCCGGCTCACTACCCTCCACTCGACCGAATCCCTCCTCTCGACTCGCCCGAGGTCAAACAATGGCTGAGCGAGATCGACCTCTCCAACATCCCCAGCGTCAACCCCACCGCCATCGGCGGCTGCGCGAACGCGACGAACGCCCAGGCTATCAAGGATGGTGGCGCGGACGGAAACTGCTGGTGGACTTGCGGCGGTTGCTCGAGAGCGAGCGATATCACTTACTGCCCAAACAAGAACGACTGGGGCGCATCGTTTGACGACGGACCCTCGCCGTACACGCCTCGCCTCCTCAACCTCCTCGAGTCGCAGAACTTGAAGTCGACCTTCTTCATCGTCGGCTCGCGCGCACTTTCGAGACCTGAGATGGTACAGGCCGAGTACATGCTTGGTCACCAGCTCTCGATCCATACGTGGTCGCACTCGAGCTTGACGACGCTGTCGAACGAGGAGATCGTCGCCGAGCTTGGGTGGACGAAGAAGGTGATCCACGATATCACCGGTGTCTCGCCGAACGTGCGTTCGCCTTTCATTCTCTCGAGAGCTCAACTGACAACCTGTGACCGAGCAGACCATGCGCCCGCCCTTTGGCGACATCGACGACCGCGTCCGCTACATCGCGCTTCAGATGGGCCTCCGACCGGTCATCTGGACGCAGTACCAGGACCAAGTCTTCGACACGCGCGACTGGCAAATCGGCGGCGGCGTCGTCAACGCGACAGGCGTCTACAACACCTTCAACAACTTCCTCACCCACGCCGTGCAGAACTTGCCGAACGGATTCATCGTCCTTGCGCACGACCTTTACCAGCAGTCTGTCGACCTCGCTGTTGACTACATCTTGCCCGGCGTCATCAATGCTGGTCAGCTCAAGATCAAGACTATCGGTGCTTGCCTCGGCGAGTCGCCAGAACAGCTCTGTGCGTACCATCTGAACGACGCTCGTCGCGCCTCACGGCTGACGGTCCCGTCCTTGCAGACATTGAGACCGCCTCGAACGCGTCTTCAGCCGACGCGGACCCACTCCTCCAAACCACCTCGACCTTCGTCGGAGCGACCGGTACCGGCTTCGTTCCAGGCATCGCACTCGAAGCTCAGCAGACGAGTGGCGCGGCGAGCGGGTCCAGCAAGGGCAAGAACCTGGAGGCGTCGAAATCTGGCAGCTCGGCAAACGCGCAGCAGACGGGCAATACGAGCGGCGCGACGGCGGTCAAGGCGGGCGCGGGTGGGCTCTTTGCGGCGTCGATGCTTGCGCTGGCGTACCTTTTCTAGTTCTCGTCCTCCGATAGACGGCTGTTCCTCTTCGCTCGTTTCCTTGTCCTCACTATCGCCTCTCTCACGTTTCTATCGCGGACGTCCGGCTCCCCTCTCTCGGCGCAGACACTCGCGCAGTGCATTCTCGCTCGTTCTAAACATACTCAGGCCATGCTGATATTGCGAGAGGCGGTTCTACGCATCAAACACCGTGATTGTCGGGCGGAAGGGCGTGTTGCTGCGTTGGAAGCGCTCGATTAGCCAGCTTCTCGCGAGCCAGGGAGGCGGGGACGCACCCAGGATACACCTTGATCGGGATCGAGCATTCGACCGTCTCGACCTTCGCCGGCACGAGCACCGCGCTCCCGTTCCCGAACGGACTCTGCTGTCCTCGAGCGAGCGACATGCTCGGCGTCGGCCTGTGATGCGCGCCGCTCGCAGCTTTCTGCAGCGGACCTGGAGCGGGAGGAGGCTCGGGCATTGCGCTCGAGAACAGCACCGGTACGTAGCCCAGGTCGGGAACGGCGCGGTACGAGATGTGCTGGACGGGTGTGGGTTCGCCAGCTCGAGGAGGGACGGGCATGAGGTGCGCTGCGCCCGAGGGCGGAATGGGAGGCGGCGGAGGAAGGGTGACAGGAACCGCGGGCTCAAAGCCGTAGGCGAAAGACTTGGATCGACCGTGTCGCGGGGGGGTCGAAGTCCCGCCGTTGGGGGAGCTGCGACCGCCTGAGCCACTTGCCCCGAGTGCCGCTGCAAGTCGTCGCGGCGTGATGTTGGGCGTCGCGCCGGCGGAAGCTTCGGGAGAGGGCGGGATGACGAGGAGGGAAAGCCGAACGGACCACTGCAGCTTGACGCCACTCGTGCCGAAGTCAGGCGTGGCGCCAGAGGGGATGGCGAGAGCAAAGCCGAGTCGTGCGGCGTCGAGGGTCATCTCGTGGTGTTCGGCGTGCAAGCGACGAGTGATCTGTCGCATGCGAGGGGCGGGCATGGTCGAGATGGATGTTTCGACGAGCTCGTGCGTCTCGAGTCGTGCCGAGACCTGCAGATGCGAGCATGAGCTGCGGGATTGTGCGGTTTCAACACGAGGGGTACGCACGCGCAAGACACGTCCCTCTCCGCCGTTCAGCAGGATCGAGCCGTTCACCGTCTCGCCAAGCCGATACGCAGACTTGACCAGTGTCAAGCTCGCCACTTGGTAGCCATCCTTGTTGATGTCGTACGAGACTGCGCGACTTGGTTGTCAGCCTTGGTCCAGTATCGTGCATCTTCGTCCGGGTCGCACCTTTTTGCGAGTTCCGCGAGACGATCTCGACTGCGGCCTTGCAACCCTCCGCCTCATCGACATCGAGCCCGAATGCCTCAATCGCTTTGCCGCCACCGCCGCGATGCGAGCTCATCTCTGGCCGAAGGGACGGCGGAGCTTCCATCAGCGTTGGCGAGCGCGTCGCCTCGAGGGTTGGCGAAAGACTCGGGTTCTGAACGATCTCGGGAGAGTTCGAGGCGACGGAGGAGAGCAGGTTGACAGCATAGGATTCGAAGTCGTCTTTGCCGGTGTCTGCAAGGCGATCGGTCAGTCGCACCGAAAGGGCGACTCGGACGGACAGTCTGCAACTCACCGGGTCGCTGCAGCTTTGTCACCGCGACTGCCGTCTCCTTCTTGTCCTGCACGTCCGCCGTGATCGCCTCGTCTTGCTGGAAGATGACTGGGTTCGTCAAGTCGTAGAACGGCCGAGCGCCGGTCACTGCAGCCGAGTAGGTCAGCAAGAAGATTGCCACGCGCAAGCGGTGTGCACTCACCGCCCACATGGTTGTACACCCGGATCGGTACTCGCATGACGCGGCTAACGGACGGTTTCCCCTGCGCCTTCGGGACCGGACGAACGTCGTCTGCTTCATGCTTGAGCGAGATCGGACCGAGCGAGATGCGGTTCGAACCGACAACAAGATGGTAGTTAAACTTGATCGCCTTGCCGCGGAACGAGGGTGGCAGGTCGGCGGGAATGCGGATGCTGAAGGTGACTGCAAGTCACGACGTCAAGGTCAGCAAGATTGCGCGAAGGAAACGAGGCGCCGCAGCTCACAGCTCTTGCTCTGCCCGGGCTGGAGGACGAGGTCCACAGCTAGGATGCTCGGCGGGCAAGACAGCGTCGGAACGCTTCTGTCCTTGATCGCGCGGTCCTTCCGCTCCTCAAGACTTGCCGCTCCTCGAGGATCCTCTGTCGCCATGCCAGCGCCGCCACCTGGTCCCGCACTCCCTCCTTGGTTCGCGCCGCCTCTTCCCCAGCCCAACCACTCTCTCCAGCCGCTGCCTGTCCGTCTATCTTCCAGCGTACCGCCGCCGACTCCAACACCTCCTGTACCGCCCGCCAGTAATCGCTTCACCTCGAGGAACTCGGCCGGCTTGATGAGCGATTCGTCGACCTCGAACGTTCCTTCGAGATGCGCGAAAGCCCAGAGCACGGCGAGCGTATTCGGCGGGTGCAGAAGGGATGGCGAAGCCGGTTCGGGTTCGTGACCGTAAGAGATCGCGCGGTTGCGATCTTGAACGGGTCGGAGGAAGGCGGAAGGAGCCGAGGCAATGCGATTCGTGAGGGGTCCTGCCTTCTGTGTCGCATGGTGCGAGTACTTCGCCTCCAGTACAGACTCCATCGTGTCATTCTGTCCCATACCATAGAAGCCGTTCCCGCTCGTGTTGGCTTCGTTGGCGTCGTAGTCGGAGTCTGAGTCGTCGGAAGCGAGCGTGAGGGACGAGACTCGAGCTCGCGAGTTCACGGCGTAGGGAAGATTTGATGGAGTGCGCTGATGGCCGAAGGTCGGTCTTCGAGGAAAGTGAGCAGGAGCAGGGGCTGAGGAGGACTCGGAGACGGGGAAAGCTGCATCGTCGGGAAAGTTTGGCTGTTGTCGGTCAATGGGCGAGCTTTCCTCGTCAATTGGCGGTGCCCGACCTGCAGAACAAAGCTCTTCAGGACAGGTCGCGTTGACTCGGCGCGCATGGAGCGCACCTTGCTGCCCAGCTGCCCGCAAGTCGTTCTCGCTCCGCTGACCCGCCAGTCCGCCTCCTGCAATGCTGCCTCCAAATCTTGACTTCGCATGTCCTCCTGCCATTCGACCTCCTTCAGGCGCACCAGATGGCGCCGTGAAGTTTCTCCCGCCTGCCTCGCCGTTCGCTGCTCCCCGCCCGTTGTGCAAAAGCAGATCCGGCGAGCTGACCGCCACGCTCTGTGCTCGCGCATGCCCGCCTCCAAGCAATCCAGGCCGTCGAGGACCGTTTCCGTAGAGACCGCCGCCACGAGAAGGAGGAACGGCGAGTGAGAGTGTTGGAGGTGCCGCTGGAGGCTTGCCGATAAGCCCCTTGCGAGTGGGTAGTGAAGGCGGTGAAGAAGACGTGGAAGGAGATGAAGGGCCGCTCGCAGTCGGATGAGGCGGACGAAGAGACCCGGTCGAAGAGGTGCTCGAGAAGACTGGTCTGCGCGGCGATGTCGGCGGCGAGGCGAGATCCGTGGCCGACGCGCTCGCTGCAGCGCTCAAGCTCGGATGGGAAACACGTCCGCTCGACGCTGTTCGGCCGAATGAAGGGGGAGATGCAGGCGACTGGTTCTGGCGAGGCCAAGCATCGCGTGCGGGTCCTGCCTGGCTCGCGCTCGTTCGCCATGAGCCCAGTTGTACCGAAGAGGCTGTCCTCGCGTGTCCAGGTGAAGCGTACGGCGAGCGCTGAGCCGGTGAGGAGGGATGTGGGGTCGTCGAGGTGGAGGGTTCTGGGGCGGGAGGATGCGTGTTTCGGAAGGTGATGGTCGCAGTGAAGACCTCTCCTGCGAAGAAGGCGCTCGCGGACGGACTGACTGTCACGCTCAAGCCGGGTTGCGGCGCCATCGACTCTCGCGACCTGGGAGGACGAGGGGTCAGTCAACTTGGCGCGAGCGCAATCTGACGGCAAACAGGCGCACTGTCCTAGTTCAGTAAAGCTCGAATAACCCCCTCGAGCAAGCGCAAGCGTAAACAGCGAAGTGTAGAAGCGAGAGAAGCGGAGTTGGGCGTGGCAGGAGGAGGTGTGGCCGACAACTCGCTTCGTAGGACTTGCTGGGCGTTGCAGTGTAGCGAGAGCAGTCTGAAAAGCAAAGTGGAGCGTCTCGCTCGGCTTTCAGCGGGCGCGGCAAGGCAGGAGACCCTCCTCGCTGGGTTCGACGGCGTCTGATGCGCTCGTCTACGCAAGCGGTGTATACCTGAAGCTGAAATAGGTATGTCTACGCCTCCTGAGTCTATTCGTCGCCTATGCCTCGAGTGGCAGCTTCACCCGCGCCCACCAGACCTCCCAATCGCTCTTCCGCATCCCAACCTTCCGCATCAACGCATTGCTGGCTAGATTGTCCGCATGCACGTAGCAGAACGCTGCGGCGCTCCGCCACTCCGGCTCGACATGTCGTGGCGCCTCGGCGGGGGAGAACATGCGAGATATCCGTGTGCGAAGGACGAGAGCGCCGAGGCCGCGCTGGCGATGTGAAGAGGAGACATGAAGGGTGCCGATGGATCCGTCGCGGTGTGTTGTGCAATGAGCAAGGATGGAAGAGGGGGTCGATACGGCTGTAGAGTCGGTGGAAGAAGCCGTGGAACTGTCGACGGAGCGTAGGACGGTGGTGTAAGGCAGCCGGGTCGCGATGTAAGCCGGAGGATGTGGTACTTCGGATGTTGAGAGAATCTACGAGGTTGGATGTTTAAGACATTGGGACGTGAGGAAACAGCGTTCGAAGGAGACGTGAACTCACCTCTGCTACGTCTTCCTCCCTTCCCTGAGTCTCGACCACGCCTCCAGGTAACACAATACCTCCTTTCGTCGATCCGTTGACCGGTAAAGACTCGGCAACATCGTGCGGCAGAAGGTAGTGGATTTCCGAGTTTGAGAAAGGCTTGGTGTTGAAGAAGCGCTCGATGCAGGATGTCCAGATGTCCGGTATCGCTCCGATGCTTATACCTGAATGTGTGCGAGCTATCAGCATCCAACAGACCCGGCGTAAAGGAGTGAATCGCACGATCTCGACCTCCGTGATGCTCCAGCAGGTACAGCCGCAGCGCCCTTCCGACCAGCTCTTCGCCTTCCGACCTCTCCGCTTCACTCAGCGCCGTCTTCGCTTCGTATGAGCAGAAGAAGCGCAGCTGGTTGCCGAGGTCTGCGAGGATGAGCCAGGGAATCCGCCGTCGTCCTTCCTCGCCTCCTGCTTCTGCGCCAGGCGGAAAGGTGGCATAGACTGCGATAGGCTGTCCGGGGGTCTGCAGCGTCGAATACAGCGGGAGCGAGCGAGGGAGATGTGGTCGGAGGAGGTCGAGAAGTGGGGAGTGATTGTCGTGCGAGAAGAGCGCGACGGGGGCAGGTGCGATGGTCATGCTGGCCTTCTAGGCCGTGCTACAGTCGCCTCGAGAACGAGCCAGGCGTTCTAGCGGAGGGTGGGTCGTGGGAGAGGGCCAAGTTGCTTCTTTGTCTCCTCCTCATCACTTCGACGCTCCGCGACAGCTCAGATGGGTAAGCGCGCTCGTCGAGATGGTGATTGAAGCCTGCTGATAGGCTCACAGTCTCTGCCGGCACGTTCGCAGGTCTTGCACTCTGGCTCTCACCCTTCCACGACGATGAGGTCGAAGGTGTGTGCATTCCTCTTGCTCGCTGTAGACTCGGTGTCGACGTCTTCTCTTCGTACAGACCTCGGCGGCCTTATCAACGACCTCGCAAACGAGTTTGACGCCCTGAAGTTTGGTCCCCATGTCACCCTCCTTTCAGGCATTCCATCCTCCGCCCCCGTCTCAAGCGTTCTCGACTCGCTCTCTTCTGCCATCGCAACCTGGCGAACAACCCACCGACCTCCCCTCCGGCTATCCTTCCGCGAACTCGGTACCAAGGCGGACGAACAGAACTTCTTCCAGTACCTCTTCGCCAAGATCTCGCCCGACGAGCCGCTCCTCGCCTTGCGAAAGGCAGTTCGAGATGCTTTGTTGCCTGAAGTTGCGGTACGACAGCCGGAAGACGATTATTTCCCGCACCACTCGCTGATGTATGGCGTGGACAATGAGAAACGACGGGCGAAGGACATCGTTCAACGACTGGTGGAGGACGGGACGATGCGGACGATTGAAGGTGGATGGCATGCGCTGAAGGGACAGGAAGGAATCGAGGTCAAGGAGGTGCAGGTCTGGATGTGCGAGGGCAAGCCCGAGGAATGGAAGCTGGTCGGCAGGGTGCCGCTGTAGTCGCCCGTTTCTCCGCCCTCTCGCAATGTTTCGTGAATACAGCATCTTGTTGCGCGTTTGTCCCCTATGCCCCCAAGCAAGCAATAGCTCGGCGGGCTGGTCATTTCCCCTCTCTCCCTCCTTCCCTTCACTCTGCAACTGCTCGCTCTCCCATGAGACGATGGTGAAGGCTACCCGCGGTATGTACGACGCTTTTTGACTGCGCAGACGTCGCTCATATCCTCGTTCACGGCTGCCCAGGCGTCCTGGTCACTTGGTGAGTACCCCCTCTGGAGTCGCAACCGTCTCTCTGGCTCACACCTCGCTCTCCAGCGACCCCGCCGTCAAGCAAATCCTCCTGCAGCTCGACGAGAAGGCAGGCCGGCATCGCTTCATTATCGCAGACCTTGACGAGACGCACGTCCTCATCTCGCCGGACGCTGTCGAGCGGGTCAAGGACGTGAGTCGCCTCGCTCCTTGCGCTTTGCTGGGCCGACAGAGCTGACTGATGGACTTGCAGGAACTGGAAGAGGCGCTCGAAGCGAACCACTGGAACCCGCTCGCCGTCGAGGATCAGTAGACTTCCGTCACCACTTGTTGTACTCTTCCATCCACTCGATCTCGCTGTTCTGCCATGGGAATCGGTCCAGAGCTACCACCGCACCTTGCTCGCCCGCGAGCGTCGCCCGAAGCAGCCTCCATCGGGCCCTCTCTCCCTTCCTCATCCTCATCAGCCGGACCCGCTCCACCTCTCGTTCCCGCCGCCGCAGACGACTCGGACGATGACTACGGTCCGTCACTCCCGCCCGAACTGGCTGCTGAGCGGGATGCGGGGCCAAGGAGCACCGCTGGGCCGCAGTTGCCGTCTGCTCAGGCGGGTCCTCAGCTTCCGCCTCACCTCGCCGCGAGACGACGGTCGTCGCCGTCCCCGCCCGTCGGGCCAAGTCGACCACCTGGCATGGTAGGAGGAAAAGCGGTCGTCATCGACCCGTATGGCGACTTTGCTGTCTACGGACCTGCCAGCGACGAGGAGGACGATTCGGTGGGACCGATGCCGTTGCCGGCGGGAGCGAGCAACGACGACAACGAAGGTGCGAGGCTGTTCAGGGAGCGCGAGGAGCGGGAGAAGGAGAAGGAGCGGCAGGCAAAGGAGGGCAAGAAGTTGCAGCGGGAGGAATGGATGCTTGTCCCGCCAAAGGAGATGGACTTGCTCAGCTGTGCGTTGTTCCCTCCCAATCTTGTGAAAGCCTCTCTGATTCCTCCCTCACAGCGATCGATACGACAAAGCTCAAGTCTCGCGGCTTCGCAACCGGCAAAGCCGCCCAGTCCGCCTCGACCAAGAATTCCTCCTCCGATGTCAACCTGTGGACCGAGACTCCCGCCGAGCGACAACAACGGCTGGCGGACGAGATGATGGGCAAGAAGCGGCGGGCGGAGAACGCGCCGGCGGAGGACGAGACGGACGATGCGCGGAGGAAGAGGATGCGGGACCAACATCTCAAGGATGAGGTCGAGCGGTACAACGTGCGCAGCGCTTTCTCTAACGTCGTTAACACCTGGCTGAAGTAACAATGACCCCCCGCGCAGAAATCGGCGCGCAACCAGTCCCTCGTCGACCAACACTCCAAGTCGTCAAAGTCTAAAGGCAAAGATGCCGACGACGACCGCGCACCGACAGCCATCTGGGACCGCGACCGCGACATGGGCGTCGGAGGAAGGCTCATGGATGACCACCAGCGGGCGAATGCGATCAGAAACGCGAAAGGCTTGGGCGGGAAGTTTGGAGGAGGCGGGTTCTTGTAAGCGGCTTGGCGCTTCAATCGTTTGCATCGCAATGTGCTCCACTCGTGCTCTCCTGAATTCTGGGGAGACGGAGGAAGCGATGTACGATTCTCAAGCAATGCAAGTGAGGAGAGGAGGAAACCGTCAAGCGATCTACACGAGCGAGACGAGAGGGAGGGACAGATGAGCGAGCGAAGAAGAAAGACATCAACAGAGTGAGGGGGAGGGAACTGACAGGCGAAGGAAGGTATAGACAGCAGGTGGTATCGTACGAATGAGAGGAAGAGAGGTGTATGTGCGCAAACTGAACATTCGTGTATGGGGAGGGACGACGAGAGAGTATGCAACAAGCCTATGCGCCTCGACGGCGCCTTTGTGAAGTCCAGCTCACGCCCTCGCGCCTTGCCACGACGGACGAGACGGACCGTGCGATCCTGCGTTCTTGCCCTTCCAGACCTCAGCGACGACCCTCGCAAAGGCGAAGACGAGTGCGAAGAGGATCGAAGGAATGAGAAAGGCGAGAGGCGGACGAGGGGGAAGAGTCGAGGCGGAGGCGGTCCCGCTAGCCTGGCGCGAGCGGTGTGGCGAAGCGGGGCGAGAGTGGCGAGGAGTCGGGTGAGGGACGTCGAAGGGAAGGGCGTCATCGTCTGTTCCCCAACCGGCTGCATCTGCAAGCTCGCCTTCCTCGCGCGAGCCTGGCGTTCCAAGCGGAGCGGGCGGGGGTGGCGACGCCTTGAACGCCCAGCCGGCCGATGGCTCCGCCTCAGTCTGCCTCGTCCTGCGCCTCGACTTGCGACGCTTGACAGGCTCGCCATCGCTGTCCGGCTGCTCCTCGACCGTCGGCATCGCCGTCCTGCCACTGTCGTCTCCGTGCGGCGTGTCGTGCCTTCCGCCCATACCCTTACTGGCGCCCGCAGCCTTGACTGCCAAGTCAAGCGCGCCCTTCGCGTTGCCGATCATGCGACCCATTCCCGCACGGACACCTTCAATGCTTCCGCCGAGCGAGCGCTGGACGTGCCCGACGCGGCGCGAGCAGTCGTCATAGAACGTCAAGCTGAACGAGGTGGCGAGGACGGCAGAGACGGTGATCGCGGCGATGGCCGAGACGACGAAGAAGGCGAGACTCTGGAAGACGGGGCGGAAGAAGGGGAGCGTCGAGTCTGACAGGGCTTTGGCGATCGCATGCTCAGCGCTGTCATCGCGCTCACGTCTGGTCGTGCGGCGCTCGACAGCGAAGCTAGAGGCGGAGGCAAGCGAGGAACGGCGGAAGAAGGGGGATGAGGTGGCGGGAGTCGAGGGCGGCGCGTGCAAGAAAGGCGCAGATGCCGAACGAGGGAACGTGTTCGACGAGGGCCTGTGCTGAATGTACTCCGACACGCCGAGGGAGCGACGAGATTGGCGGACGCCTGCTGTTCCGCCCGCACGGCGGTGAAGGCCTGAGGGCGAGCGAGTCCTCGATGATCCGGTACTCGACGAGCGCGTGAAGGATGGAGCGAAGGATACATGCGGGCGGCTGGTGTGCGAGCGGGTCCGCGGCCGTGGCGTGGAGGCGTCCGAGCGGGTCTCTTCGTGAGCATGCAAGGCGGAGGGGAAGGAGTAGCGAATCTGGCGGCGCTCGGTGCGCAGGGTCGTTGTGGTCGTAGTCGTCGTCTTCCTCGTGGTTGGACCGAACCTGACGCTGTCCTCCTCGACGTCGGAGGACGGAGACTGCTGCGTCCAGCCGTTCGTTCGGAACGAGGGAAAGCCGACGGGATCGTGCACCGCGCTTAACGCGGATTCAGGCGGGTCGGAGAAATCGTCAAATGAGTCGATGTACCCGACGGGAGCGACTGCCCTCCTTTTTTGCGGCGAGCGCGAAGCTCTCCCTGGCTTGGCGGGACCACCGTGATTGACCCTGTCCATGCTTCCGCCGCGGTGGTGCCTGCCTTTCAAGTCTGCCTCGACGTACTCGGGCGAGTTGGGGATGGAAGTAGGGACGGACGAGGGAGGTGTCGGGTCCGGCGTGTGAGGGAGGGCGGGAGCGGGGAAGGATTTCGAAGAGCTGGCGGCGGCGTTGTGCGGGTGCGCGGAGTCGTGGGATGTCTGCAACCTGTTTACCGCGTTCCACGGCGGCATCGCGGCGCGCTGCAGCGCTGTGTCATCGCGAGTCAGCTCGAAGTGATGAGGAAGAGCAGAGCGGTGTAGAAGACGAGTGAGCGCACCTGGCGAGTCCCGAGCTATCTCGTTGGGTTGCTGTGAGTGTGTTTGAGCAGTCTGAGCAGCCAGCGAGTGTCCCGAGCGTGCGAAGTGAGCAGTTCGAGGTAAAGAGCGGTCCTGCGTGAAAGACGAACCCCGGCCAAATTGACTTTTGCAAGTCGGGGGCAGTTTCTAGTCGCAGGCACGGTGTCTTTGGGCCTGTCTAAACGAGGATCGCCAAGCAGCAGAGCTCGCAGCGAGAATTGCGAGTCTGGGAGTGCGAGAGCCTCATCCTCGTCCTCTCATCGTGACGGCGTCCAAGTAATCGAGCAGCGAACACGTTCGGGTCCAGTTGTGCGTGCGAATACAGAGACGGAGCAATAGATATGATACAGGGGCCAAGGAAAGCCGTATAGCAGCGCCGGTAGGGGGCAGCCTCTTTCGAGGCTGGAAAGACGAAACGACGAAAGGGTGGTGTCCTGCGGGACGCACAAGCGCCACCAAGAGCCAGAGAGAGTGTCAGCCACGTCTCTCGAGGGAGAGGACGGAATGAGTGAGGAGGAAGAAGGAGACGCACCATGATGTTCTCCTCAAACTCGGTCGTGCTTGCCGCGCTTGTAGCCGTAGCGCGTCTCCTCGATGACCTCCTTGATGCCCGGGTACACCTCCCTGATGGCGGTGTGCGCCCAGATCGGGTCTTGGTGCTCTGCGAAGGTTCAGGTCAAGAAGAGTCAGTCTTCAGCTCTTTGCGATCTAGCGCTCGTGTGTCCTCGCCAGCCAAGCTCATTCCCTCGACGAGAGCGTTCAAGCTGGGTACTCGAAGGTCCGTCGAACAGAGCAGGACGCACCGTAGTTCTCAAGCGCGACAGCCTTGACGAGCCTGACGTTTGGCTCGTGACTCCTGATCCGCTCGACGAGGGGCTTGCCGAGGACGAGCGTGTCGAGCGTGCCGTAGAAGATGGCGAGAGGCGGCATCGAGGCGGGGAACCACGGCTCGGTCGTGCGCGTGTCGAAGACGCAGTTCTTGCCGGCAAAGACGTTCATGTCTGCGGGACAGATCGAGCGGGATCAGCGCTTCATGCAATTTAGCCGGCGAATTGGCGGGAGCACGGCCAATGCGAGCAAGAGCAGTCGTCCAAACGAAAGCTTACAGTCTGCGGTCAAGCAAGGCTCGTCAGTCTCGGTCATCTCCCTATTCGTAAAGACGGTGTGCAAACTCACAGAGAAGGAGTTCGCTGCTGTTCGGCACAGCGACGGTTCGGAAGAACTTGGGAATCTGGCGCTTGACCCTATTCGCAGCGCGTAAAGTCAGCTCAAGTTGAAAGGGAGAGTCAGAGGGGAGGAACGCACCAGTTGTGGTCGTGGAAGCCGAAGATGAAGGCGAAAGTCGGGTTGGCGAAGTGGCCGAAGAGCCAGCCCGGCAAGACTGCTTGAAGAATACCGATGGCGGGGATGAACTCGCGGACTATTCGGCGAGACTCGTCAATCGTTGGCGCATTCAAAGAGAATATGGGAGGACGCACCGCCAAAGACGAGCTTCCAGACCTTCCTCGAGCCGGCGAACTTGCGCATGAGCGAGAAGGGGAAGCGGCGGAGGGCAGGTCCGGCGTAAACGGCGGGAGCGAGTGAGATAAAGCACGAGATCTTGTTGCCCAGGTCGGGGCGCATGCCGCGCGAGAGAGCGAGGTACACTGCGAGGGTGAAACGTCAGAAGGGGCACATGGTTGTCGAGCTGAACGCGATTCACTTGTGCCGCAGCCTTGCGAGTGTCCGATGTAGGCGGGCTGAATAAGAAGAGTGAGTCAGGCCGGACTATAACGGCCAGCGTTAGCAAGCGCACCTTGAGTCCAGTCTCCTTGCCGACGTAGTCGACGATAGCCGGGAGGTCGTAGATACCGATATCCCGGACCTGTGAACAAGCAAATTCAGTCAGTCGTCCATGAGTCAAGGTATGGTTGAAGCCAGCGACGTACCGTCCAAGCCCAGTAGCGCGGGTCAGCGCGAGAGTACTGTTTTAACGGGAAGGTCAGCTCCAGCGCCTCGCGTGCTAGACCTCGTGTCGAGCAAGCGTACGTGGCGGTGGGGCATCTTGAAGTTGGTGCGGATGTTCGAGAGCCAAACGTCGTAGCCCTGCTCGAGAAGCCAGAAAGCAAGCGAGCGCTCCTCGTTGACCACTGCAAGCGAGATCTGTTAGTTTTTGGGCTTGATGGATGCGGAGAGCGTGGAAAACGCACTAAAAGTGACGGAAGTTGACAGGATACCGTGCTGGAGGATGACCGGGTGGCCGCGCTTCTCGTGCTTCTTCGACGTGAGGTGGTGCAGACGGAGGATGAAGCCATCCTCGGTTTCGACGTCGATGTCCTCGCCTGCGGTGGCAGAAAATCAGTTCCATCTCAACCCTGAGAGGGGAGAAGGCAGGACGTACAGTCGTAGCCCCAGTAGTTGGCGTAGTAGGCCGCACGTGTCGAGTAGCGCTCGCCCGTGATGCGCTCCTCGAACTCCTTCTCGACCTTGGCGCGAGGCGGCGACTTGTGCAGCGGGTTAAGCTTGTTCGTGACGTAGACGACGAGCGACATGATTACGATCATGTTGAACGCGAGCGTCGTGCCGATGAACGACCCAAGCTGGAAGCCGGTCAACCAACAGCGCTCGTAGAACGTCAAGGTGCGGTAGGCGGGACGCGGCGGGACATCGTTGACAAAGTTCGTGTCGTCCGGGTCATAGCCGCGGTTGTCGTTCTTGGAGAAGAAGTCCTGCTTCTGGCGACCCTGCGGCTCGTAACTGTATCGGTCCTCGGCGGTGTACGCCTGCGAGAAGGCCGATTGACGCCCGCCGCGAGAGCCGCCGCTGCAAAGTCGCAGGAGGTGAGAGTCAGCCGTAGTTCGCTCGGATCGTCACCGAGGTCTGCGCAAGCACTAGAGCGAGACACTGGCTCGGCGCATGTACCGGTCCGCCCGCGCAAGCGAAAGGGAGAGATGATGGGACCAGGAGGAAGAGCCTCACTAGTAAGCATCGTCTTCAGGCTGGCCGTACGCTCGGCCGACGTCTCCCCGCTCGTTCTCTGCGTAGTCACGCAGGTCACGCCCGGGAGGAGCGCCGAAAGCTGACGTGCCGCCGACGTACTGCAAAGACAGAACGAGCGAAAGTCAGGAATCGACGTTCGAGCAAACGGGACGCGGTAGGACGCCGAGGCTGGCTCATTTCTCCTGAATGGGAAGACGTACGCCTTCTTCCGGTCCCTCCTTCTCCTTAACCCGCCAGTCTCCAACAAGCGTTCCCAGTGGCCGGTCGTGGTTGTCCTGGGCGGCCCGCTCCAGGTCCTTGGTCGTCATGTCCGCCCAGTTCTTCTCGCCGGGCTCGCCGCGGGTGTTCCCGCCATACTCGTGGTCGCTGCAACGAGTCGCACGACTGGTCAGCTCGAGGTCGACGGCAAACAGGCCATCCGAGTGGGGCAAAAAGGTCGGCGACGACGCGAGACTCACGCTGAGGGGTGGTCGGACCGGTCGACGTGGGTCGGCTGGCGACTGTAGTCCTTGTAGTTGTCGCCCATCGTTGCGGCGAGTCACTGCGTGCGCTGTGGGACGAGGGAGGGAGAGCGACAAGTCGGAGTCCGGCAAGTTCGCCCTGCGCGCGGCGACTTGACCCCTTCGATCATTTCATGAGCTCCATTTGGAGTCCCCGCGTGCCTTGCAACCCGTTCCAGCCAGGCCAGATCAGAATATTCCTGCCGGGAGGAAGGAGGCAGACAAGGCTGCTTGCTGCTGGAAGCCTACCGTAGACGGTTCAGCAGGCCAAAGTCGACTGCATCCGCTCGAGCGTCGCCGCCACCGCACAAGCCGCAGGCAGCAGCTTCAGCGACCAACAAGTCGAGGCCAGCATCGTAGCGAAACCCGGTTGACAGCAGAAACCCTCGACGTCCTACAATTCCTCCGATGCCCTCGCCAGCATCTCGCTCGTCTTGTCGGCGAGCACGTCGACGATGCCGGTCGGCTCGCCCGTCTTCCACCTGCCGACGAGAGTGACGATGCCGATGCAGAAGATGAGGACGCCGAGGTCGTTCAGGAACGTCGAGAAGATGTCCAGGTAGCGCACACCTGTCTGAATGGCGACGGCGAGCTGAGGGGAGAACTGGGAGAGCATCGGGAGGAGCGAGTTGATGATGCCGGGCGGGGCGGGACGGTTCTGCGGATGTTAAAGGCGGCTTAGCGGCGGCTGACAGCAGCCAAAGAGTGTACTAAACGCACTCGTAGGAGGAAGAGCCGCGTCGTCTGCAGAACGAGCTCGACACTGACGAACATCCACAGGAGAGGCTGGAAACGCAGAGTCAGCGCGACGGGAATGACCAGGTCGGGAGAGCAGACGCACAACTTCTGCGAGACCGTTCAGTCCGATTGCATCCGCCACGACGCCCGCCTCGCGAGGTTTCCGGCTGATGAGCGCGCCCCAGGACGCCCAGTCGATGCCGTCTTGCGCGCCCGTCCAGCCGTACTCCGCCAACCGCTTCGCTGGCTCGTACACAGCGACAACGTACACCGCCAGACCGACCATGGCGAGAAGGTGAATGGCGGGGAAGATGCGGTCAAGGAAGGTCTTCGGCGCAGGAGGGAAAGGCGACATTGGCGGGCCCTGCATGAACGGATTTGCTCCCGCCGCCGGTCCAGCGCCTGCTCCTCCTGCTCCTGCCTGAGGTCCCCCTGCACCAGCCATCATCTGCGAGAGCATCTGCGAGAACATGTCGTCTCCTCCCGCTCCTCCTGGCGCGAACGGGTTCTGTGCTCCTGCGCCTGAAAAGCCTGCTCCTGCGGGTCCACCTCCTTCAAACAGCGCCAAGGGTGACTGCGACGCGAGATCCACCTCGGCAGGGTCGTCGTCCTGGTTGATATCGGCGAGAGTGGATGGGGGAGGAGGGTTGACGTTGGCAGGTCGAGGAGCGATGCCGCCGACAGCTGTGGGACCACGAGTGTGTCAGCAAGCGTCTGGTTCGTTTGACGGACCGCGCGCACAGTCCGAAACGACGCGTCCCTCGTTCTTTGCGGCACCCGTCAACTTGTCGAGGCGCTCCTTGCCCTTCGCGAGCAGCTTGGCCTGGCGGGCCGCGGCGCGCTGTGCAGCAGGAGACAGCGTTTCGGAAGACATGGCGGCCGTTCCAGCCAGTGAAGCCGAGTGTGAAGCGAGAGCAGGCGAGAGTGAGCGGGAGAGGTGCGGGATACAGGCAAGTTGACGACAAGGTGTATCTGTCCGACTTGGTACAGCCGCAGCAACCTCACAAACAATACGGATACGCCGAGTAGCGACGACGCCGGGCAGAGGAAGCAAGGGTATGCACGGAGACTTGCGAAACTACGACAACACAACTTCGTCTCCCTGCTTGTATGGGTGGATGAGCAGCTCGCTGAACCTGTACAGGAGAGGAAGAGAGTCAGCTCATGCCGGACGAGAGACAGGAAGCAGGCGTTCGCACTTCTTGAGAGCCTCCGTTCCGCGCACTTCCTGGCTGAGAAGCGGCATCCGCACGATGTGGAAGTCCTGCAGGCGTGAACGAAAGTCAGACACACGAGGAGGTTGGAGAGAGACATTGAGGTGGCGCACCTCCGCGTAGAGCTCGTACGCCTCCTTGAGGTACTTCTGCTGCTGCTTCCATCGGACCTGGCAGTGCTTGCAGCTTGAATCTGCGTGGCGTGATCGTCAGTATCGCACACAGTGCGCAATTGCGTCGCATACGCACTCTCTTCGGGGTAGAGGAGCTGGTTGACGACGATGGCGTGGACGTCGATTTGGTACTGCGTGAGCTCCTGGATGAGGCGCTCCGTCTCATAGAGCGACAGGAATTCCGAGACTGCACATGAGTACATCAGCAAAAGCACTCGTTCAGTGTGTCGGATCCCACGCACTCATGACGGGAATGAAGGTTGTGAGGTCCTGCAGAAGGCGAGAGTCAACACCGTTTCGTTCGGGCGACTTCTGCTGTACTCACGGGGTTCTTGAACTGCGCGTTGACCTCCGTGACGACCGTCCGCATGCTCTCGAGCTTTTCAAACATCTCGCTCGTGTTCAGCCCACCACCCATCATCGAGCCGATCTGCAGAACCGGGTTCGTCAGTTCCTGCACAAGTCCCGCTTCTCAGGCTGCGCTTACCTGGTTCAGCATTGGCCCAAAGCGCCCTGACAGCCCGCTCAACTTCGCAAGAGCCTTCTCGAGGACCGAAGGGAAGGACAGGAAGCGGAGGGTGTGGCCGGTCGGCGCGGTGTCGAAGACGATGACCGAGAACTCCATCGACTTGACGTGCCTATGGGGCGTCGCGAGTGAGTGCCTCGTTGACGGCGAAGAAGAAAGAGCACTCACTTCATGACCTCCGCAAAGCCCATCGCCTCGTCGATACCTGGAATCGCAAACGCCAAGTCCTGCATCATGCCGTTCATGCCGCTGTCGTCGCCTGCCGCCAGAGACTGTCAACAATCGCCGAGAAGAGGAGTGATGAGCTAGACCCACCAGACTCGACCATGTCCTGCATCGACGCGCTCGGGTCGATCTCCATCGCGTACAAGTTCGTGAAACCGTTGACCTTGCTCGCCTCCTTGCCAAACTTTTGCGAGAACGCGTCGGAGAGGTTGTGTGCTGGGTCGGTGGAGCTGAATGCAACAGGCGGGTCAGGCGCGGAGACGAAGAGACAGGGACGGCGAGAAAGCGTACATGAGGAGTACCGACTCGCGAACTTTCGCCAGTTGTACCGCCAAGCTGCAACTGGTTGTGGTCTTTCCGACGCCGCCCTTACCACCAACAAAGATCCACTTGAGCGTATCTGCGAGTGAGGAGGAAGCGGAAGGGCGAAAGGGGTGAGAGAGGGCGACGCCGAGGAACCGGAGAATAGTCGCGATTTGGTGAGGGCATCATTCGAGCGATAGTTTGGGTGTTTGCAGGCGGAAGTGCGGGAGCATCCCAGTGTGAGGGAGAGCAGAACGAGGTACGGACGGCGAGGTGGAAAGAACATGCTCGTCAGCGCCGCCCTTGTCGCGCTCGACAATCCCAAACGCACCCTGATCAAGGATGTTCTGCAACGAAGGCTCAAGCGAGTCGCCCTCGGGCTCTGCGCAGATGTACGCGGTCGACATTGGCGAGGGGGAGATGAGGTCGAAAGGGGAGGGCAGGCGGGATGGGCGGTGGGTCTGGGTTGTCTAGCGGCGAGGAGAGCTGTCTAAAGCAGAGATGAGCAAGCAGCAAGACCAGCTGAGAGGTACGGAAGGAGGAGGACAGCAGGACACCCCACTTCGCAGGCTTCCTATTCGGCGAATACAAACGGTTTCGAATGCTTACACGAGGTCATGTTCTTCCTCGTTCTATAGTTCCTCCGCCGGAGAACGATATTGTACTGCAACTGTCACAACAAAGAGATAGGAGAGCACAGGAGTGCGACCAAAGGACGCGTCAAGGATGCGCGATACGGCGAAAGAACCACCTGAAGGATAATTCGAGACGACAACCGGATGCGATAAAGCGGAATGCGAAATGTGGAGATGGATAGAAAGGATGCGAAGACAAGGAAGAGGTCTAGGACGTCTAGGTGAGCGAGGGCGCGAGGACGGCGGATGCGAGGACATCGCTCGCGGACGGGTCGACAACGACATGCGCCTTCTCGACGCGCGCGAGGACGCTCAAATCGTCCGTATGCGCACCGACGGCATCCTCGTCGACTTCGGCGGATGACGAAGCAGGCGTCTCGTCGCCCGAGTAGAAGAGCGAGTCGCGCGATTGGGACGACATGGACGACATCCAAGACTCGCTCTCGGCGAGCGAGTTAGCCGAGTAGCAGGGTACGATTGGGCGAGATTCGTCGATTGCTGGAGTGGGCGGAGCGGAGGCGGAGTGAGTGGATGCGAGGACGAGGTTGGATGAGCGGCGGGAGCGGGAGAGCGGTGGCCGGACAGGCGAGTCTCGCTCTCCCGCTGTGATGCTCGATGCGGCGGAAAAGATTGCGGGCGTGGTCGTTCCGCTCGAAGGAGGCAGCGAGTCGTGCGAGATGGCCTTGGCGAGTTGGCGAGAGGATCGCTTCGAGACAAGCGAGCGTCGCTTGTCGGGCGTCTCTGGCTGCTCGACAATCCTGTCGAGGTTGGGCGTCGGAGGCGACGAGCTGAGGCTCGAATCGGTGAGCGCAGGCGAGACGACCCGTGCGACAGATGGGAAGATGTCCGCCGACTGCGCCCGCTCGACTTGCGGCCTCGAGAGTGGTCGTCCAAGTACCTCAAAGCTCCGCGCCTCTCCAGCCTGTCCATAATCCAGCATCTCCCACCCGACAGGCGAGTCGAGACTCGTCACGCTCGAAGCGCGCGATTCGCTCCCTCGCTTGCCTCTGCCAAGCTTGATCGCCTTACTCCACATCCCGTTCGACGAGGTCGATCCGCTCGGCGAGGGAGGCGCAGCCATACTCCATCGTCCTGTCCGTGGCGCGCGGGGGGACATGCGCGCGCGCTCGTTGTCGGCGTAGTAGGAGCTGTCGGCTGACGAGATGGTCGAGCCGCGCTTCTTGGTCTCGACGGGTGGGAGCGTCGCGCGACGGGCGGAAGAGGGGAAGGAGCTGACGGGAGAAGAAGGGCGAGGAGGGGGAGACATGGCTTCTGCCTCGTTGGGCTCGTAGGCGAGCGGGGAAGTCACGAACGACGCGACCGAAGAACGTCCACTCGAGCGGCGTGGCGTACTGGGTCGCACCAGAATCGTCGCAGGCTGCAGGCTGGACGGGCCCTTCGCCTCGTCCGCAAAGTCGAGCAAGTCGGGATGAGGTGGGTCGTTGAACGGCCTGAGGAGGTAGTCGTCGTCCGTGCGCACCGTGATCCTCGGCGGCGCCTGTTTCCTCAGCTTGCGCACCCCACGGTTCTCCTTGACCGTCTCGTTCCTCGAGAGCGAGACCGAATGCCTCCATTCGCTCGAGCTGTCGAACGAAGGGCGCGGAGGCATGGAAGTCACGTTCTCGGCGAGAGGAACTTCGCTTGCGCTTTTGGCGCGGTGAGAGGGACGAGGGCGGGCTGTAGCTTTGCGGACGAGCTTGGGGGGGTTGAGGCGCGGTGCGATCGAGGGACTGGCGAGAGGTGGGCCGCTCTGAGGTTGTGGGACGGGGAGGACAGAGAGCGAGTGACGGTGTCGAGGCGTGTAGGCGCGGCCGATTTGGCGGGAGGAGACAGCCGAGTCGCATGCTGGCGAGAAGGCGATTTGAGGGAGAGGAGATGTGGGTGCAGGCGAGGGGTTCTTCAGGCGGTAATCGGCGAGCAGCCTTGAGCAATGCGTGTGGTCGAACAAGCCGAAGTCCTGCACGGGCAGACCAGCGCATTAGCCTCAAAGGGGCTCAGCGAGGGAAGGGAAGGAGGGGAGGGTGAACGCACCTCGAGCTCGTCGTAGGTCGGGATAGGGTCATTGAGCGACTCGAGCATCTCCCGGAACGTCGGTCCACGGTCCCTGTCCCCAACAGGCCAGTCAAACTCGACCCCCTCCTCCGTTGGTTCAGCGAACAGAACCGGTTCGTTCGCTCCCTCGTCCGCTCGCTCTTCCTGCTGGTCGTGAATAGCCACCGGCTCCTGATCAACCGCATGGACTTCCGACATAGTCGCTGAACGCGTCGAGCGAGTCGCAGTGTCTGTCGAGAGTGAGAGTTCCGGCGAAGTATGGAAGCCGTCGGCGCGTCTGGCGGGAGATGTAGGCTGTCTAGGGGTTCGTGGGCGTGGGCGTAGGTCGTGGTGGTCGTCAAGGCGCGGTCTGGCGATGCTGGCGGGTCCAAGGACGCGACGGTCGCTGAGACTGGGTTGGTCGACTCTGGGAGACGACGAGCCTGTCGAGGTCGGCGGATGGAAAGGTCGTGACGAAGCGCTCGAGCAGCGCGTGTAAGCAGCGTTCAGTCTCGTCACAGCGGCAGCAGCAACACAGAAGAGTATGAAGGAGCGGGCGCAAGGGAAGAGCGAGAAAACCTTCCTCGCAGGGCAACGACAGCGGGGCCACGGACTCGACTCCGCTCGCAATCTCCCTTGCCACGCTTCAGCGCACGCTTGCGCTACCCGAGACAGTCTGCCGCAACCGGCGGAGGTCGTCGAGGAGCGGAAGAAAAGAAGTGTCCATTCAGCAAGTAGTGCGGCACGAATACAGACTCGAGGAGAGGAGCGAAGGAGGTATGAAGGAGTATATGCTGAAAGATAGAGAGGCTGGATAGAGTAACGACAGCGAGGACAGTGGGTCCAGAGAAGGGGGAAGGGAGACGACCTGCGTCTGCGTCTGCGCGCCAACTCACGCCTTGTAGGACATGGCCCGCTTGACACGCTGTCGAGTCGTTGCCGTCGCCGACGCCGAGCCGCTCGAGGCTGTCGCAGTCGCCGTAAGAGTCTGGCCCTTCGCAGACGACCGCGCAGACTGCTCAGCGGTCCATGCGGGGACAGAGGTAGTCGCAAAGGGCGCGACGTTCGAAGGTGCGGCGCCGCATGCGGAGGAGAGGTCCGAGCCGATACCGGCGAGGTAGGCTTCGGCGGCGGACTGGGTCGTCGTGCCGTTCTGGCCAAAGTCGGACGCTTTGGGGATCGTCGCCGAGTTGTTCTTCAGGAGCGTGACTGCGAGTGTTGCGAGCGTCAGTACCGTCCTCGCAATCGCCAGCTCGAGGAGAAGCGAGCGCACCAAACGAGTACTGCAAAGCGGGCAAGGAAGCGAGAAAGTCAGTTCATCTGTCGGATTACGAGCATGAGGCGGGACGCACCTGGCTGTAGTCAAGACCAGCAGCGAGGTCCTGCTGACTCGTCTCAAGCTTCCAGCTCCAGTAGTGGCCGCCGGCGCTGCGAGGGCGAGAAGAGCGGGGGAGGGAGGGAAGGAAAGGGTGGGTTAGCGTCGTCGGCCAAGCGGTTCGTACGTTTGTTGCGGTGTCTTTGAAGAGCGTGGCTGGCGTATCAAGCGCATGAAAGTGCCCAGAAAGCGCTGGAATACGGCGCAAGACGACCCAAGTCCCAACTCACCTCCAGGTCCAAGTCGCGAGTTGCTGCTCGTAGAACTGCTTCTCAAACGCCTGGTCCTTCACTCCCGTATACAAGCTCCATTCGTCGATGCAGACGGGGATAGGGTACTGCGTGCGGACCTCGCGAAAGGTCAGCAAGGTCCAGGCGGAGGAGAAGGTCCGTCAAACCGGCACGCACGTTCAAGTACCGCTGTCCGGCCGTGCAGACCTGCTTGAGGATGTCGGCGCTGTTGTTCTGAGGCGGGAAATTGCCGGGGTAAGGGTGGTCGACCATGACCATCGAAGGAGGGGAGGTCGCGTGTTGAGCGGCAAAGGACTGCCAGTACGTGAGGTTCGTGTAGCCGTTGTGGAGGAAGGTGGCGACGGGCCAGGCGGACTTCTGGATCGTCGCGTAGCTGCGCTCGTAGCTGCGAAAACGAGGAAGGTCAGCGGAGAATGTTGGGAAAGGCGAAAGGGACGCACTAGTTCTGCAGCTGCTGGATCTGGTCGTCGGTGTACGGGCGAGGCTCGTTGATGACCTCGATACCGGTGACGACCGAGCGGTAGGGCGACTTGGCGACCCAGTCGGTGATGGCGGCAACCATCTGGTCGGACCTGACCTGGTTCGGCGTCTCCGAGGCAGCCGATCCTCCGAACCACGAAGGCGTCGTCGTGAGTTGTCCGGAAGACTGCTCGCCGTTCTGACTTCCGGGGAGACCGTGGCAGTCGAGGATGGCGTACATTCCGCGAGCGTGGGCGTAGCCGAGAATGCGCTCGATCTGCGACTGGTAAAGCGCTTGGTCGTTGACGTAGGGCTCGTTGCCTTGGGTCGGGATGAACGCCCAAAAGCCGAACGGAATGCGGAGCTGGTTGATGCCCTGCGGGAGCGAACGAGCGTGTCAGCGCGCCATTTTTTTCGCACAGATCCGAGACCTTCGTCCTACGCACGTATTCAAACATGGTCTGGATGTCGTCCTCGGTGACCCAGGTGTTGAAGTGGTCCGTCAACGCCGCCTTTGCGCCGTCCTGCCCAAGAACCTGGCAGAATCCCCACTCGTCCATCGTCGTCGCGCCCGCGCCGGGCTTGACGGCGTTGACCGTGTTGTTGAACCAGTCGGGCGCCATCCACTTTTCGAGGATGAGCCAGTTGCCTGCCGAGTAGAAGCGGTAAGGACGGACGAGCGAACGAACGAGCGAGTCTGTACGCACCGAGGCACATCCCGATCGACTTGTTCTGTCCCCACGACCAGGGCGGCAAGTCGACGACCTTGAAGGTGTTACCTGCAGGCGTCGACGTCGGAGCCGCGCTCGAGGTGGTCAGTGTCGCGCTCGTCGAGGCGGCGTCGCTCGTCGTCGCTGCGAGAGTCGCGGCGGACGAGCCGACGCCTCCTTGGCCGTCTTTCGCACTTTTGACACTGTTGTTCTTGTGGTCGTTCGCTGCTCGCGAGCCCAGCACGCCGCCCAGCACGGCACCGAGGACGAGTACAATCGCGACGAGGGCCGCGAGGATCCAGAGCCAGATCCTGCGTCCGCGTCCGCCCTTGTGGCCCGCGGCAGACATGGCGAATGACGAGCGAGTGTGTGGCTTCTCGCCTGGATGGGCGAGGTAGACGTTGGAAGCGTCGGGCGGGTAGCTGGGCGCGTCGAAAAGGAGGGTCCTTTGGGTGAGCGACCGGCGGTTCCGAGGAGGTGCGTGCTTGGCGGGTGTATGGCTCGGGAAGACTCACTCGTGCTGTGATGCACCGTACGGACTCGGCATGCTGCTCTGCCTGGGTTGGGTGGTGTGTGTGGGTGCGATGAGCGAGGGTCGCGGGAAGCGGACGCGCGCGTTCGAGGGTGTGGAGGCGACGATGCTCGGGAGCGAAGCTTGGCTGGGGGTGCTGGAGGGTTCGCTGGCAGTCTGTACGAGACCTGTCAAGCACGGCAGAGCAGAGCAGCACAGTCCAGCCAGACAAGATGGTGGCGGAAGCGACACCAACACTCCGCCGGAACAGCGGCGCCAAGCGAAAGCCACGAAATTCTCGTCGGACGACGCGTCCCACCTGACCAGGTCCACGCTGTGAGGAGTGCTGTACACGCTAGGGATTGCAAGAGGGCAAGGGAGAGGAAACAGTCGAGGAGGAACAGAAAGAGCTACTGCGTCGGGAGAAACGGATCACGGTCGGAGAACGAGTGCTGGGAAGAAAGGGATGTCGGCCGGGTCGTGACGAGGGCAAGGGCGATGGTGACGACGGACTAGTCGTGAGAGAAGAACCGAGTCGGCGGGACAGGTATATGGAGGCGAGGCGAGGCGAGGCGAAGGGAACAAGGCGGGCTGAAAGACGCGGCGCTCAGCAGCACCCGCTCTTGTTCTCCGCGTTGCCCTGACCGCTCCCGAGTCCGACGCTGTTCGAGCCTGCCGAACCCGCCGCTGCGCCACCTGCGCCCGCTGCGCCCGTTGCCGTGTCGAGCAGGCGAGCCTTGATGTCGCTGCGAAACCCAAGCCGGCGTCAACTCTCGACATTTGAGGAGACGAGAAGGTGGAGGGACACACCTCGCCAGCGCAAAGAAGGCCTGCTCGACGTTGATGTTGCTCTTTGCCGACGTCTCGAGGAAGCGCAAGCCGAGCTCGTCTGCGAGTTCTTGCCCTTGTTGCTCCGAGATGACCTGTCGAGAAACATCCCGCTCAGTGCTGTTGCTCATAGAGTACTTCCTCAAGGTCCCGAAGTCGAGCGGATTGCCCCCGGCTTGCGAAACCAGGGAAACCCACGAGAACAGCCGCAAAGCTCACCTTCTTGTCCGTCCAGTCGCACTTGTTGCCAATCAGAATCTTGTTGACCCCTTCAGACGCATGCTGCTCAACGTTCTGGTGCCACGTCCGGATGTCTGCGGGATCAAGAGACGTGAGTGAGCGATCTCGTCAATATCTCCTAGCTCGCGAGCTCGACACAGTGTGGTGCGAGCAAGCATATACGAGGTGCGTCGACTCACTGTTGAAGCTCCGCTCGTCGGTCACGTCGTAGACGAGGAGGATACCCATCGCGCCGCGATAGTACGCCGTCGTGATCGTGCGGAACCGTTCCTGACCCGCCGTGTCCCACTGCACGGCACATTCCACCACAGCATCTACTCGTCAGCCTCAACGGGGCGAAAACAGTATCAGAGGTGAGAGAGGAGCGAGCCGAACGCACAATCTGCAGCTTGATCCGCTTCCCCTCGAGCTCGATCGTACGGATCTTGAAGTCGATTCCGATGGTGGTGATGAAACTGGGCGTCCAGGCGTCGTCGCAGAATCGCAGGAGGAGGCACGACTTGCCGACGCCTGGTTCGTCGTTCCGAGAGCGGGAGGAGACCGCGAGGGGTGGGATGATTGGAGTAGCGTGAGGAGTGGAGAGGGTGGGGAGAATGATATGCGAGCGAGGGAACGATCAGCGCGCGTCCCGAGGGCAGGACACGGGAGCGGGAGCAACGCCGAAGGCAGTGGCTTGAGAGCCGGGAGGCGGTGTGTTCTCGCAGCGAGAGAGGATGCACGAACGCACCAGAGTCACCAATCAGCAACATCTGCGGAAGAAAAGCATCTCGTCAGTCCAGCTGCCGGACAGGACACGGGAAGAGGTGCCGCCGCCGATGCGATGAGAGTTGACGGTGGAGCGACGCTCGTGTCTCCTCCATCGCACGGCCAGGCTCGTAAGAAGGCGGCTCACCTTTGCCAGCATGTCGTAGCTTTGTTGAGGGGCCGGCATCGTGTCCTGGGCGGTGTTGCGCGGGTGCGAGTGAGTGGGGAGGCGAGGAGGTTAGGTTCGGCGGTGGGAGGAGCGGATTGCGCGAGTGTGGTGGTGCGTTCTAGCAGTGTCGTTGAGCAAGTGACTCGATCCAGTCAAGCAAGGGCGGGCGTGTGAGCGGTTGTGGACGAGGGCGACTCGTTCGCTCGCTCGCTGGAGACCAACACCTTGACTTTGCTCGAAATGCTAGACGCTGGTCTATTACGATCCTCTCACTGCTTCTCCTGCACCGTCCGACTGCTCAGGAAATTCAGCGAGGCGTGCAGTGAGCGTTGCGAATATCTCGCGCGCGTTATCGCTTCTCCTCCTCGCCAGCTCGCTCGTTCGGCTGGATGGATTAGCCCAGACTCTGACGAGTTCCTCAGAGTGCCTCATAATCACCTTCTCAAGCCGGGCGGGAAAAGGCGGATCGTCTCTCGCCTCGTCCTCTCGACTGCCGACCACACCGCTCACTCTGCATTTGCTGGCCCAGGAGCCACTCTTAACGCGCTATCATATTCGCTTGACACCCCCTACGAAGCGGCGCATCGTCTTGACGCCTCACGCGCGCTCACTCGCCCGTTCCCCCCGCACAACGCCCAACTCCCGCCCGCCATCGACTACAAGGAACCGTACGCCCGCTGGAACTGAGCGAGGGTGACCCGGGGAGGATGCCGCTCGACCTGTCGCATCCGCGCACGCTGCTCCCGCTCGCCTCTGCCTCCGCCTCGACCTCGGTCGGGACTGCTTCCGCAGGCAGCAAGGGCACAAAGGGGGTTGCGGGATTTGGATCGGATGGGAGTGGGACAACGAGGAAGGCAATCCACCTCAAGCTTACGGAGGAGGTCCTCGCCCAACTCGTCGAACTCGCCAGGAAGGCGGGATCGGATGCAGGTGGTGCTTCGGCGCTCAAAGGCGCTCTCAAGGTCGACTTGGGCAAGAATCCGGTGCGTTGTTGAGCTTCACCGTCTGCTGGCCACGCTGGAGCTGACCCGGGACTCCCCCGCAGTCGCTCGTCGTCGGAGGCGTCTCCCACGCGCTCAACTTGCACCCCGAAGCGCCCGACACCGAACTCGTCCGCCTCTCCACCGCCTCGAGACAGCTCGAACCTGTTGCGACCATTGCGCAAAAGGGCTCGGTGAAGCATGGACTCGCAGACTTGGAGAAGGCGGGTCAGAGGGCGCGTGAGAACCGCGAACAGGCGGAGAAGGAGAAGGAGGGCAGGCGGTGCGTTGACGTCTCTCTCGGGCGCTCTTCCACTCAGTGCTGACTATAATGCGCTACAGAGCCGTCCTCTTGGATGCGGTGCCATCGACCTCGAAGAACCGCTCCGCCTCGCACTCCCGCCTCCTTCATTCGACCTCGTCCCGCCCTCACACGCCCCTCCCTTCCTCTGCCCCCGCCTCTCGCACAGCTTCTCCCTCTTCGACCACCCGCCAACCCTCTCGCCTTACCGCTGTCCCTCCCAAACCTCCTCATCCGCCCGGTCCCGCTCCAAGCAGCACATTCCGTATCGGCAAGGGTACCGTACCCAGCAGCATCGCCGTCAGTCGAAGCAGTAGCTCTTCCTCCTCCGGCGTGTCCGTCAGCCTCGCTTCCATCGCCAATGGTACCGCACCTTCGCCTCCTCGACCCGCCGCTCCTTCCGCCTCGACAAGTCTTCCCCTTCCGCCATCGCCGCAGCGACAGACATCAACGTCTTCTACCGCATCGAGCTCGTCTAGCGAAGTCAGCTTGCTGCAAAAGACTATCGCGTCGGGCGCGAGCGCGACCAGTCCCGAGTCGCTACCTATCGCCGAAACTGCCGCGAAAGCGGACAAGGGCAAGGCAGTTGCGACGGACGAGCCGGAGACGAAGGTGGAGGAGAAGCCGGCTGCGCCGATACGAGCTGGAGGAGGCGGAGTCCTGAAGGGCAAGGAGTCGCTAAAGAAGGAGAAGCGACGAGAAGAGCGGGCGAAGGACCGCTCGTCCGCTGGCGCGGGCGAGTCTTCGGCCGCTCCAAGCAAGTCGGCGTCTGCGAAGCGCGCGTCGGGCGGTACGAAGATCGAGGCAGAGTCGGAGGAAGAGGTCGAGCGGCGGGACAAGAAGAAGCGGCGATTGCTTGACGACGACGACGTTGGGACGTCGAGCAGTCGCGCTTCGTCGGTCTCGCGGCCGGCCAAGGGGGCAAAGAATGGCCGCGAGAGGGAAGGGTCGGAGCGAGGGAGCGGCAGCGAGTCGGTCAAGGCGAAGAAGGTGGAGAAGGAGCGACGACGACAGCGGGACGAGTCATCGCCGCCTAGGGCGAGCAGCAGCAACGGGACGAAGAAGAAGAAGCGGCAAAAGGTCGTCACCGAGCGCTGGTACTCGTCCTCTTCGTCGGATGAAGAGTCGGCGAAACCGCTCGCGCGCAAGACCTCGCACGACGGTGTCAAGCCTCGCGCTTCGTCAACCTCTACACCGCTTGCCAACGCTTCTCCTTTGCGCCAAGTGACCACCCTCCCTGCGCAAGCTCGCAAACTCCCGCCTGTTCCGTCTCTCCCGCCAGTCTCGGTCACTTCGCCCTCCTCATTCGCCTCGTCTCGCCTCTCCTTCCTCGAAGCATACGCCGCATACGCCGTCCTCCATTCCAAGCTGCTCGACGAGCGGTGTCAACTCGAGCAAGGGGAGAAAGGCGCGCTGGGCGGGCCAGATCAGGTCCTCAAGCTTGTTGAGCAGGTTGGGCACAAGAAGGCAGAGCTGGAGGCGCTCAAAGAGGGGATGCGGTTATGGAGTGAGGAGCAGAAGAAGGCGGGTGCGGCGGCTCGAGCGGCGAGTTGACGACCGGGACTCGAGTTGACCTTTCCTCTGTCGCGCTGTACACTGTCGTTCACTTCCTTGTTGCTATTCTTCTTCTGCATTGACGTTCGTTCTACGGTGAATGTGCTCTCGTTCCGTGAGAGAACGGCGCCTCTCGGCGCTCGCTGGGCTTGCACGCGCAGCTCTCCCGTCCATCCGCTCTCGGAACGCAGACGATATGACGATGGCTGCAGTACGAAAGTCCCAGAAGAGAGCGGGGAGAAGACGAGCAGAACTCTAAGACTGCGCATTGACAGCTGGACGCGGCGGCGGGAGAAGAGGGAGAACGACAAGAGGTACGGCAGGGCGAGCGAGACGAGAGGGCGCAAGTAAAAGTCCCTTTTACGAGACTCTATGACGAAGAGAGGCGTCTAGGAGTCGACGGTGACGGACCATTCGGAGGGGATCTCGCCCGTTTGGCGGCCGACGATCTCGCGAAGCAAGACGCGGGCGATGTCGCCGACTGCAGGACGTCTTGTCAGTGTTCAAGCATCGTGAGACCGGAGGAAGGGGACGCACGGCCGTCCGAGCCGACGGGGACGTTGACGACGCGGTCTTCGTAGCCAATGCCGTCGATGGGCGAGACGATGGCGGCCTGCGATGCATAGCTGCGTCAGCTTGTCATCAACGTAGAGTAGAGCGAGGGAGACTGACCGTGCCGGAACCAAACATCTCGAGGAGCGTTCCCTCCTTCTCAGCCTTGACGATATCGCCCACTGTTTCCCAGCCGGGTCAGTTCCCGTTCCCTCGCTAGCAGAAGGATGGCGCGCACTGGTCATGTTGCGCTCCGAGACGGTGAGGTTCTCCGGCAATCCCTCGAGCTTCTTCTTGCCCGAGGCGTGGTCGCGAAGGAGAGAGAGGATCGAGTCGCGCGTGACGCCGGGGAGAATCATGTCCTCGAGAGGGGGTGTGACGATCTCAATGCCTACCCAGGGGTGCAAGAAGAGGTCAGAAACCGACGCGTACGCGAGTAGGTACCCGCGAAACTGCTCGAAACGCGCCGAAACGTACCGGAAGAGGAGGAAAAGGAGGCAAACAGATTCATGGTGCCGACTTCAGTCAGGCGGTGTTCGGGGCCAAACAGCCACAGGATCTGCTGATATCCCAACGCGGCAGCCTGTTGCTGCGGTACAACGCCGGCGGCATAGTTCGAACCGAGCTTGTAGCCTCCCGTTCCGCCTGGCCATGCGCGTACGTCCTTTGTCGTGGCGTAGAGCTTGACGGGCTTGAAGCCGGTCGAGTAGTAGGGGCCGACGGGGGAGCAGCTGTGAGGGAAGGGGGTGTCAGTCTTGTACGCTTCGGAACAGCCCCCACGCGGCCGAACGTGCGCAGGGCCTAGGAGCGGTCTCAACTAACATGACAAAGAGGAGAACGTCGGTAGAAGCGCCAACCCCAAGTCCCGCCTGAGTACCAATCATCGTCGGGCGGATGTCTGTCCTCGCCCAAGCCATCAGTACGCTCTTTTCTCACAACGAACGCGAATGGTGGACGCACAGAGCGACGTTCCAGGCTCGGTAGGGACCCAGTCGGCATCGATCTCGACAAGCTTCTTGATGAGCGTCGTGAGGTGTTCGCCGGTGAAAGTCTGCGCGGCGGGGCGATTAGCGCCTTTACTCCCTGGGAGGAGGGAGCGTACGTACGGGAAAAGCGAGACGCGCCGCAGAGCGGTTCATACGCTCCATGTTCTGCGCGCGCCCAATCTCACTCAGTTTTCCATCCTCTCGCAAGAGCATCTCGCGCACGCACCTTGTCCGGCCTAAACAACCTCGGCACGCCATCCTTCCCCTTGTACGCCTTGAGTCCCTCAAACAGCGTCGGGGCGTAATGCAAGACCGTCGACGACGGGTCGAGATTCAGAGGCCCGTAAGGCTGGATCTTGGGCTTTCCCCAGCCTTTTTGAGAGTTCCAGGGGATGCAGAGCACTGTGCGCCGCGATCAGTTTTAGTGAGTGCTTGTGGGGGGCTTTGGAAAGAGAAAGTGACGCGCTGTGGTCGGTGAAGGTACGGCCAAAGACGAGTTGCGAGGCCGGAGGAATCGTCTTGGGCGACTTGGTCTTCTCGATCACGAGCTGTGAGGGCTGCGAGCGCACGAATCCGAATTAGCCTGCGTCCTTAGGACTCGCTTCGCATCGGGTCCCATCCCATCCTCCCGCAGCTTAAACCCGTCGAAAGCCGTCTCCTCCTCCTCCTCCTCCTCCTCCATCCGCCAAAAAGCTCCTACTCCTCCCGAATCCCTCGCACGCTCTCTACCCTCGTCCTCCCTCTCCTCCCTGCGCACTCCCTGATCTCCCATAATCCCACCCTCCCCACTCCTCCAAACACAGACTCACATCGATATCCGCGCCCCTAACCACCTCTCCCGTGAACCCATCCACACTCCCAGGCGCAGCAGTGCCGACGGCGGGGGGTGCAGAAGCGGGCGCGGTGGATTGACGGAGGAGGAGACGGGGGGAGAGGTGGAGTGTTCGGTGGATGAGGGGGGTAGCGAGGGGTGCGCGGTGGAGGCGGAGGGTGGAGCGGAGAGGGGCGAGGAGGCGCGTCATCTCTGCGGAAGGTCTAGCGGGTGAGCACGATGAGGAGGAGGAGAGAGCGAGGACGAGGCAAGCCGGATCTCGCGGAGTTCGGCACGCACGCACACGATCGACACTCGCGTTGACTCTCTCTCCTACTCAAGGGGCTTGTTCTCTAGCCAGCTGCACTGGAGCTCGACTGCTACGCAAAGCAAGCGCGGAAAGCGACGCAACTCCCGCCGCGAACAAGCCGACCGCGCTCCTTGACTCGCCGCAGTCCGTCTCGAGCGAGAAGCGGACCAAAGATACTCTAGTCAAGACGCGACGTTTCAACGGGCTCAGGGACTGGATAGAAAAACGCAGAACCGGAAAAGAAAAACAGAGGAGACGAGGGAATGAGAGGAAGGGCGCTCGTTGCGCGAGGATGAAAGGTGAAAGGAGGGTAATTAGCCTGAGCCTACTTGAAACGTCGATCGAAGTGTTGTGCGTCCTGGTCGCAGTGGAAAGCGCGGGATGAAAGGAAGGCAGATGCGAGGGATGGCAAGGTTGAGGGCGAGCGGGGGATTGAGGGCATCCTCTCTCTCTGGATGCCGAGGAGAGAGGGGAGAGGGGAGAATATGTGCGGGCGGGCGGAAGCGGGAGATGGGGCAGTAAGGGAGTATGTCGGGGATCTTCTAGCGACTCGCTCAGAAGTGGACCTACGAGCGACGAAGAACAGAAACTCGTCAATCGCCTGCTCCCTCTCGAGACCAAACCACGACGGGGACAAGCTCGTCAAAACGCACCTCCTCTTCCTTCTTGGGCGGCGCCGCGGTCGCCTGTCCCGAGACGTAGTGGAACCCAGCCCAGAGCGCAGCAAACATGAGGAGGAACGTCGCTGTCCAGCCGACGCCGAGGTAGGCGCGGTAGAGCTGCGTGTGCTCCGGGTAGCCGTACTTGCGGGTGAGGCCGGTGATCCTGCGCGAGGGCGGGGAGGTGTTAGGTGAGGGAGGGAGAGGGAGGAAGGAGGGCAAGAGACGCACGATCCGAGACCGACGATAGCCTGGAGGAAGCCGACGAAGGTGATCAAGAACTGGCTCGCGGCGCCGAAGAAGATGGTGTGGCTGAGGACGAACGAGGCGGGAGCGAGGATGGCTGCAAGGGAGGGAGGGAGAGGGGTCAGTTTCAGACATTCCGGCGCGGTTTTCCTGCCTCGGTCTTCGTTCGAAGCCTCCTTCGCAACGCCCTTGGACCCCTAGATCCGCAGAAGAAGCCAGCGCGGCGACTCACTGAGGAAGAGACCCTGTTCGCGCGGACAACCTCGGGATCAGCTCATTCCTCACGTCCTGCGCAAACTCGACCGGGGACTCACGTTCCAAGCCCAAGCAAAGACGTTCTGGATGAGTACGCCGTGCCACTCGTGGCTGGGGTACGGGCCCGAGTGCTTCGAGAGGAGGGCGGCTGAGAGGCCGAGCGAGGCGACGCTGAGAGCCCAGACGAGCCAGAGGTATCCGCCGTACGGTGCAGACTGTCCACACGAGTACTCTGGTCAGTCACTCGTGGCACAAGGGAGTGTATTGGCTGGCGGAGGATCTCGATGACGCCGTTCGCTCGGGAAGGGAGGCAGAGGGCTCGGGCGAGATGCGCGAGCGAGGGAGGGAGAGAGGACGCACGACGCCGGCAGCCATTGTATTCGTGGCTGTAGTGAGTGTGAGTGAGTGTGTGAGTGAGCTCGAGCACGGAGAGAGAAGCGAGGCGGAGAGCAAAAGTTCGCCAGAGTCCAACTTGGCTTCGGCCTCCGCATCGCAACGCCAACTCCGCTTCTGGCGCACTCGAGCTGCCGAACACTCGGCGCACTTTCACAGAGCACAAACAACGCTCTCCCTCACTCCCTCACTCCGTCGCCGCTGCCGCTTTGTTCCCGTCGCACTCCGCTCGCTCGCACGCTCGACGTCGCCCTCGCCTCACTCCAGCTTCCTTCGACCTGCGAGGAACTCCTACTACAGATTCCAGTCATACTGGAGACGCTGCACCACTCAGAGCGAGAGCGGAAGCGAAGCGCGCGACGAGGGGACAAGTGGTTCGTCGTCCTCGGCATTTCGCGTTCGACGGACCTTGTCGTGCCGAAGCACGCTTACTGCTCGTCCGCTTCGCTCCTCCGCTGCTGCCCTGCGCTCTTTCTTGCTTGATTGAAGCTCTTTGACGGTCCAGCGACGAGCAAGAGGAAGGCGAGAAGCAAAGTCGACCTTCCCAACCTCCTCCCGCTCTTCTTCGCCTCTCACTCGCTCGAACGGAGAAGAGGGGGATCGTCAAAAAGCAAGAAACATGCAATGCAAAGATGTAAACACAACGAGGTTCTCAAGAAGAGGGTGGAGGAGGGGGGGAGGGAATGCGCGAGGGGGTCCTTCGTACGCCGCCGAGTCGAGTCGAGGGGAGGGCGAGCCGAGGACCTGCCTAGGCGTAGCGACGACCGAGACGACGACGATAGACGAGGGAGGATAGCGAAGGAAGAGAGAAAGGCGGGAATAGCACAGCTTGTTTCCCGCCCCTCCTTCCCTCCTCCGTCGCCTCCTGCGTCGAGTCGAAGGACATTCTTGCGCGTCAAGTCGTGTGGCGGAAACAAGAGACGAACGGGGGAGGGGAAATGCAAATATGAACGGGTGACCGGGCACTCCTTCATCGAACGGCGTCCGGCGTCATCGATTCGAGAGAGAGCGGGTGGGATGGTGAAATCGAATGAAGGGGGTATGGGAAAAGACATGGTTGCGAAGAGAAGGCGTAAAGAGGGGGTCGTGAAGCGGAAAGGCGGGCCGAGAGAAGGGTGAGTCCGGGATACAGGCAATGAGCGACGAGGGTTGGCTTTGAGGCGTGGGACCGGGGGACGGGGGGAGAGCTGTGCGTCTGGTTCTAGGCGAGGCGTGGTGAGACGAGAGGCGGAGGAGGTACTGCTGATGAACCCAAGAGAATGACCGAGAGGAACCGAGAGAGCCGAGCGAAGGGCGTGAAGGGCGAGACGGCGGATTAGGCGGCGAAGAAAGTCTTTGTGACCGAGTCGCCGTCGCATGCGGCGATACGGAAGTCGTAGCCCTTCATGTAGTTGAACCTGCGCAATCCCACCCCTCATCAGCCTCGTCTTCTCCGCAAGACGCGAAGGGAAGGCGAACGCACCACGACACGGCAATCATGTTGGGCATCTGCGACCCGCTCGCAAGGATGTTCTCGAGCCACGCGACGCGCGCAGCCATAGGCGCAGCCTGTCCGAGTCCGATCTCGCCAATCGCAAACTTGATCCCGTTCGACGAGGTGTACTTGTCATGGAAGGCCTTCATGCTCGCCGGGCCGGTGGCAAAGTCTGGTGCAGCGAGGCGCGCAAGTGAGTGAGGAACGCAGGGAAAGAGAGAGAGCGAGACGAACCAAAGTTGTCGGTCTGCTTGGGGTACCAGTCGACGCCGATCAAGTCGACAGTCGACGCGTCGTCGGGGAAGTACTGGTCGTACTGGTCGAGCGAAGCGACGTTGGGCGTGTACCACATTTTGACCTTGGGAGCGATCTGGCGACACGCCTTGGCGACGACGTCCCAGCCTTCCTTGAAGTCCGAGACGCCGCCTTGGTAGGTGCCGTCCTGTTGGTAGTAGCTGCGGGGTGGCAAGCGTCAGCGTCGTCGTCGAGGAGGAAGGGAGAGAGGGAGGGGAAGAGGGACGCACTTGACCTCGTGAGCGAAACGGAGCCAGACCTCGACGCCAGCGTCGGTGTACTCCTTCATGACGTTGCAGATCGCGACAGCTGTGTGCGGGTACGAACCTCGTCAGCAACGACGTCGGCGAGCGAAGGAGGAGGAACGCGAGCGGACCCTGCTGGTTGTCCTGGTACGTGAGACCCCACCATCCGCCAGTCGGCATGACCGCCGGCTGGAAGACGCCGCCAGACAAGATCTGATCCTTGCGCCACGAGAACTGGCTGCCGTCAAAGAGCGTGCCCGACTGAGCCTGGGCGTACCAGCCCTGCGCCGACGTCTTTTGCCCGACCGCAGCCTCGATCTGCTGGATCGTGTGCGCCGTGCCGCCGCCCGAACCTGGGTTGAATGAACAAGGGGAGAGAGGAGTCAGCGCTCAGGCCCTCGCCGACGTGCCGGGTAAGGAGGAGGGGAACTTACCGTCGTCCGGGAGCCATCCAAACGAGATGCCGTTCTTCTTCAAACCGTTCAGTCCCCATCCGATCGAGCCCGACGAAGAGGACGACGAGGTGGAAGAGGAGGTGGAAGCGGCGGCGGAAGACGAGGCAGTTGACGAAGCCTGCCAGGACGAACCCGACGCGGCCGAACCCTTTGCGACGTACTGGACAGCGACGGTCGCGTCCGCCTGGGACGCTGACGAGGCTGGAGAGGACGCCTGGAGGGAGGACGAGCCCGAGGCCGAGATGCTGGCGGCAATCTTTGCGTGATGGCGGCGGTGGCAGCCTGCGCTGACGGTTGACGCGCCGAAGGCGACGAGGGAGAGGGCGGTGAGGAAGTGCATCGTTTGTTCGTGTCGTTCGAAGAGAGCGTGAGGAAGTTTGTCGAGCGTGATGCGAGTGGCGGACTGAGCGCGCTGAGACGGGAGGAGGAGCGGGAGGAGGGTGGAGAGAGTGTGCGATCCGGCTAGCGGTATCGGCTTGTATGGAGAGAGAGAGAGCGTGAACCAGACGACAGACGGGAGGACAAGAACGGAGAAAGAGAGCGAGCGAGAGAGACGGGGAGCGAGCGAGGACAAGGACGCGACACCGGGACGAGGCGCGAGCGTGCCAACGGATTTCGGGCTGAATTCCTCTCGCCTCGCACAAGGCTACGCGTCTCGATCGCACATGCACAGGCTAATCTAACACCGCCAGCCATCACCACCGCGTCCAGCTCACTCCCTCGCCCGCCTCGTCAAGCTGCGCACCCATGTGCTGCGCGACTACGAACACCTCCCGCCACTCGCTGCCGGGATGGCTGAGCTCGTGCAGACTGCTGTGCGGATGTTACAGACTGCCCTTCACCATGCAGCTGCCCGTGCGATGCGAGTTCGAGGCCGCACATACGACCTCCTCCTCGTCGCGTCGCCTCGGCCGCGCCCAAGCTAAATTGTGCCCGGAGCCGTTGTCGGGTCGGGCCCCGGTTGCCTCTCTCTCTTGCTTGGCTGCTCACACAACCTTGGCTTGATCTGCGATCGTGCCGGAGAACAAACGCGAGCGAGGCGAGGCTTCCCCTTCACCCGGTCCGCGCGAGGCCTTGTCCGGCTCTGCTCGTCCTTGTACTTGGCATCACATTGACGCGCTCGTCCGCCCTCTCACCATTGAGCATCCCTTTCCCCCTGCAGGCGCATTCAGCTCGCATCTTCTCTCGCAAGTCCGCTCGTCCGCCTCGCTCAATGGCTCGAATACGACAATTGCACGCTCTTTGTACGGAAGTCCTGAAAGTCTGAAAGGAAGCTAGAAGGCGGGTGGTAGCGATGAGAAGACGGGGTGATGATGGCGGGAAGAAGGCGAGGCGGAGGAGGCGGGAGCGCAGTACAAGCTGCGCGCAATCTGACCGAGCGAGCGAGTCCTGCTTGCTCAAGCGAGGGTACCCATCGGGTCCTGTCACACACGATCACCATCAGCACACGAGCGGAGCGGCAGGGAAGGCGAGACGCGCCCAGGGAGGCAAGACGGTCGGCTCGCCCTTGTCGAACAAGTCGACCAGCTTCGAGTCGACGTACTTGCGGTCCGCGCAGACCTGGTAGACGTACTCTGAGAACCACTCGTCGTCCATGACGAAGTACCTATCCCCTCTCATCAGCCCACGCGGAAACCACGAGAAGAGGAAGTCGGAACGCACCCCTTCTCTCCCACATCCGGTCCCCAGCTATTCTCGATCCTCCACCGCGTAGGCTTGCCACTCTTCTCGTCGATGTGCACAGCGGTGATCAGCATCGAGTGCGTCATCGCTGAGTCGCCCGTCTCGAGCCGCTGGGCTTTGGACATCTTCAAAGAGGTGCCGAAGCCTTCGTCGAGCTGCGCGTGTGCAATGAGAGTGAGCAAGACTGCTGCTGAGCGAAGGGAGAAAGCCGAGAGACGCACATCCCAGAGCTTCGTGCTCATGATTCCGAGCGAGCTCGACGAGAACTTGCCGACGTCGCAGCCGAACTGCGTCGAAAGCGACGGAGGTGTTAGCACGAGTAGCAAAGCTGGTGTTCGCAGCAAGCGGGGACGCACCAAGACGCGTCGATGATCCGTCGCTTCTGTCCGAACTCGAAGTCCTACTCGAGTTCGTCGTGGAACTTGACTGGCGCTGTTCGTCATATGTAGTTGAGTTCGCCTTGCGGATCGCCCATCGAACATTTGGCGTCGCCGACCGTGTCGACGCGGGTGAAGCAGGATTCGCAGAGGAGGAAGACGGCGAAGCGGTAGATCGTGATGAGCCGACGGAGGAGTAAGAACAACCCAGTCCTGCTAGTCAAGCGAGAAGAGTTCGCCAGGCCCGCAAGAAAGAGAGCGGATCTGGCAGACTCATGCCGCGGACCCAGAGGATGAACGTGTGCAGCATCCACCGCCAAATTCGTCACTTGGAGTGCACCACGTAGATGGCTCAAGTCCAAGGCGGCAGGCGAATAGAGCGAGGGCTCAGGGCTGCGAGGCGCAGTTCGCGACAGGGCCAGCGTTGCTCGCGTCCGAGGGTGCGCTGCAGACGCACCGCTGTTCCGTAAACTGCTTCTTGCTCTTGTCCTTGGACTACTGCTTCTTGCTCCTCCTTCGCCGCCACGCTCGCAGTCCAGGATATCCCCCGTCGCCCCGTCCCGACGCTCTCATAACTTTGCCAACGGCGGCGATGTTTCCCCTCTGGTCAGGATCCACGCGCTCCACCGCTCCACATCTTCGTGGTCGATGTGCGTCGAGCCAAACGAGGTGTCGAGGCGGGAGGATGAGTCGTCGGCGTCAATGCGCCGCTCAGTCGTAGGTGCTGTCACTGCTGCTGACTGTTGTTCGACGTACGACAGCTCTGCGAGTGCTGTCCCTCCTGCCGATGCGCATCCCTGCGAGATCAACGAGTCAGCCGTGCTCAGGCCCATCCTTCCCTCCTCATCCCGTGTTCGCTATGCTGCTGAAGACAACGAGGAACCTGCTCACGTATATCTGACCGCTTGTCTGGTCCACAAATACTCCGATACACCCCGCCCTGCTCGTGCACTCGAAGAAGTCGCCGCGGCTGATGCGGTCGTGGTGGGGCTGGTCGAGGAGCGGTGGAGAGGCGGGTTGGATGTGCGGGGAGGATCGCCCTTCAATTGTATCGGCAAGAGAGCGTTCCAGCTTGGGAGCACAGTGTGCAGCAGTGTCTGCGCGCGAGCGCGGGTGTGCTGTGGCTGGCAAGGCGCTTGCTCTCACAGGCTGGCGATGAGGCAAACGGCGTGCGCTTCGTCTCCTTTCGCCCTTCCGCCTGCGCATCCAGCTTGGTCCCGTCGCACGGAGCGATGCTCACAAGTGCATCTCGCCAGTGAATGGCCCGGAGAAGCGAGAGCTGCAATGACAATATGGCTACTTCGCCGAACTTGCGCCGAACGAGCGAGCGAGGATGTACGAGTGTATTAGAAATCCCTCAGCTTTGCATACGCGGTCGGCGCCAGCTTGCTCTTCGAGTACTTGACGAAGAGTGGGAAGACCGAGATGCCGACGAAGAGGGCGACTTTCGAAAGGAAGCTTGGCGAAGAGACGAAGGAGAGGTCTGCGAGAGAGGGAGCGTCAGCGAAAGGGTTTGAGCGTCGCACAAGCAAAGGAACGCACCGAAGTTCTCGGGCGGGAAGAGCGACGCAGAGCGCAAGCGTCAAGACTTACGACCATCGCGAGGTGCCAAGTCGTGATCTCCACCGCGACCATCGCCAGCTCGTTCGCGATGACCGCCGAGAACCAGATTGACACAATGTTGAGGAACTCGAATTCGAAGAGGACGAGCGAGAGTAGCATGGTGTCGCCGCCTGCGAAGGAAACGGTATCAGCGGGTCTTTCGGAGCGGGCGACACGGAAGAGCAACGCGCCTTGGTACAGCGAGATCGTCAGCCAAGTGAAAAACGTATTGTATGAGAGACTGTCGCCCTGCAAGCATGTAGACGGTCAGGAACAAACGAGCGCGTCGAAGTGCGCCGGACCCCTTCCCTTCGTCAGCTCCTTGTACAGCGCCGGGTACAGCAGCGCGACGTCCTCGTTGACGTCACGGTCGAGCACGAGCGAGAAGACGGGCAGCATCGTGTACGCCGTCGCGTAGCCGACCATGAGCCACCCTTGGTAGATGGCGATGGGCGAGCTGAGCAAGCGAGCGAATACGTCAGCTCCACAAGCGATGAAAGAAGCGAGATCCAAAGACGCACAAGTAGAAGACGGAGGAGAAGACGGCTGTTCGGAACGAGCGAATTAGCAGCCGACCCGCCGGCTTGCGACGAACAAGTCGCGACGCACCTTGAATGACCGAGATGATCAGGCCACGATGAATGACGAACTGTGCAAGCTTGGCGCTGCGCTTGTACGAGCTGCGCCCGTGCCAGACGACAGCTTCGTGAAGTAGCTGAACTGGTTGACGGAAAAGTCGGCAGCGAGCGACGCTTGTCGGCCCTCCTTGCCGACGATGCCGACGCCTGCGCACAAGGTCGGTCAGCGCCGTCGCCGACGAGCGAGAGGAGAGCGCGAAGCGAACGCACCGACATCAGCCGCCTGAATCATCAAGACGTCGTTTCCTCCATCTCCGATGCGGCAGATGCGCTTCTTCGTGTGCGCCCGAATCAGTCGAGCGACGTCCGCCTTCTGCGTTGGTGAGCAACGGCATGCGACGACTGCCGAGAGCTGAGTCGAAAGCTCGATGAAATCTTGTCGGAAGTGCTCGATGCAAAGCTGCGCAGGAGAGCGAGTCAGCGCGGGCGCAGCCAACGGAGGAGAAAGGACGCACCTGAAGCGACTTGCCATCGATGACGAGGCAGCAGTCGAGCTTGCTCTGCAGAAACTCGAGCTCGTTGCGAGCCTGAGCCGGAGACTTGACTGCGGGCACAAGCTTATCAGCGCTCCCGACTCGGCCGCACAGCGAGAGATGACGACGCACGCTTCGCGATCTGGTGGATGTACTGGCCGCGCGAGACGAGCTTCATCGAAATGGCGATGCAAGTCGCCGTCTCGATCTTGTCGCCCGTGAGCATCCAGATCTTGATGCCGGCGTTCCGCAGCAGCTCGATCGTCATCTTGACGTCGTCCTGAAGCTTGTCCTCGACGCCGGTAACGCCGAGTAGCTCGAGATCGTGCTCGAGGAAGTCGGCGATGACTCGAGCGCTCGCGGCGTTGCGGTCGCCCAAGCCGAGGCGCGCATCTTGGTACGTCTCCTCGAAATCGCGCAAGCGTCTCAGCGAGGAGACGTGGCCGTGACGGGCGTCCGCAAGCGTTCGCGAGCCATGCTGCCGCACTCTTCCTCGAGCCAGTCGTTGTAGGCGACGATTCGCGCCATGACGACGTCGGCGCCCTTTTGGTAGAAGACGGTCTCGCCCGTCTGGCGGTCGCGGACGACGATCCCCATTCGCTTCGACTCGGAAGTGAATGGGAATATTTCGAGAACGTCGTAGGAGAGAGTCGCGCCGGCAGTCGTGCGGAGGGTGATTGACGTGCGGTCGCGGGCGGAGAGAGTGAGGCCGATCGACTCGGTGAAGCGGACGATGGCGACTTCGTCGGGAGACGAGGCTTGATAGGTGATTGATCCGTCCGACTCGTCGACGATGGGCGTGACCTGCGGGAGAGGCGTCAGCGCACAAAGCAACGACAGAAACGGATCGCACGCACGTTGTGGCACAACCCGAGAGCAAGAGCGACGTCCTTGACCCTCCAGCTCATGTCGCGGCGACCTCGAGTCGCGAGGGTGACACCCGTCGCGAGTTGCGGGCGGCTGCGAGACGACACGAATTCAGCGTGTCGCTTCTCCTGACCGCCGTCGTACGCACCGTTCGTCTTGCTCTCGCCAAGCGCCGTCGCGAGCTGATGCGCGACCTCGTCCATCGAGTCCACGCCGTAGCTCATTGTTCCGAGGTGCAGCTTCTTGAGCTCCATTTCTGTGAGTGCACTAGGCGTCAACGGAGGCAAGCGAAAAAGCGGGCGACCGACGCACCGCTCTGCGTGAGCGTGCCCGTCTTGTCGCTCAGAAGGTACTCGATCCGACCGAGTTCTTCAGGCAGCAGCGAGGTGCGGACGATGGTGTCCGGGATTTCCGGGTCGTGCATGATCTGGCGAGCGTAGACGGTCTTCCCCATGTCGAGATTGACGCGAAGCCTGCGGGTGACGAGGATTAGCGAGGATGGGGGAGCGAGCGAAGAGGAAGCGGAACTCACGAGATCGGGATGATGCTTGAGGAAAGGATCAGGAACCGGAACACGTACGCCCACCAGTGTCCCCTGAACCCGTTGAGAGCGACGAAGATGACGGAGAGCGCAAAGGTCACGCCGCAGAGGAATTTGGCGAGGCGGTTGATCTCGTGGTCGAGCATACCGACCTTCGTGCCCGGCTGGCTCGTATTCATGACGGCGCGAGTCTCGCGGTCGGTGTAGACGATGATACCGACGGCATTGCCGGCTGCGAGGACCGTGTTCACCCACGTTCTCCCCCGTCAAAGGCTCGACCGGGTGAGCCGCGACGAGATCCTCCTCCTCCTGCTCCTGATGTGCGTCGCCTGCGCCATTCGCTCCTGCTTCTCGTCGCGATGTCGGGATTGACCGAAAGGTAAGGGTCCCGACGAAGGTATGGATGTCCTTCGTCAGCGGGTCCGCGTTGACGTCGCCCTCGATCTCGAGCAAGTCGGCGTCGCTCTGCAGCGCCTGCGTGCGCTCGACAGCGACGCGCAACTGCCAGTCCGTCTCGATGTCCAGCTGGTCGGTGCGTACGAAGCACGTGCCGCTCGGGGCCGAGGTACGGAGAAGGAGGATGTCGGCTGGTACTCGGTCGTTCTTCTCGAGGAAGACGAGGTCGCCGACGCCCAGGTTTGACGTAGGCGTCGGTTTCAGAGGCGCGGTAGAGGGCGTGGAAGACGAGGCGTGGTGCGAGTGAGGAATGCGGTACGAGGCGGCTGTAGAGGGCGGAATTGGCGGCTCGGTCTCGCAGGTAGCGCGTGTAATCGTCAAACGCCTCTTTGCCGATTGCAAAGGCGAGAACGAATGCGAGGGGGACAATGTAGGTCGCGAGGAAGCCTGTTAAAGTGAACCAGCGTGAGTGGCTGAGCAAGCGGCCTCGTTGAGAGCGGGAGTTCACACGGCGATGCGGAGTGCCGGACAAACTGTGAGAGAGCGACGAGCAAGAAGTAGAGGTTGTAGAAGAACTTGAACTGCTCGTAGAGGACGAGTGGGAGGAAGGTTGCCACGTTGTATATCTGGTTCTTGACGAGGTTGGGCGCGAATGACGACTTTTTGCGCTTGGAGGGAGCATCGTTGAAGGGGATGGTGCGAGGTTTCGAGGAAGGCGGACTCGAAAGGCGTAAGAGACGGGCGACCGAGAGACGACGTTTCTGCCTGGCGGTCGAGGGGACAAGGCGCATCTGCGGAGGTGCGACGGCGTCAGTAAAAGCCCGCCTGTGTTGATTGACGCCTGCTGCGGAAGGCAGAGAGAGAAGTGCGAACGCACCATCGAACCGTCGTCCTGCCCAAGCAACCGAATCTCTTCCTCCTGGATGTCCAAGCCCATGCTCCAACCCTCGTCGTACTCTCCCTCACTCTCACCTTGTCCTCCCAGTCCAGGCGGAACGCGTCGATCCTTGCTATAGACAAAACCGCCGTTCATGCGTCCGTCCCGCCGACTGCCCCGCTCTGAGAAGCTATCCGCCTCGCTCTGGACGTCCTCTTCCGTCCCGAGAGTCGTTCGTGCGCTGCTGCCTGCGTACGAACCGCCGCCAGGCATCCCTCGTCCGCCACGACTTGCCCGACTCGCTCCCGCGCTCGATGCTGCCCCGCGCAGGCGTTGATCGCTACACTGCGAGCCCAGGCGGCCTGTCCCTGCACCGTTACGCCCTCCGGCGCTGCTCGAACCTGCTGCCATGCGCGCTGAGCGAGGCGGCGCCCTCACGCCCGCTCCACTTCCTTCGATGAGAGCGCCCGGGCTGTCGCGCGGTGCAACGGACAAGCTCAGCCGGAGCAGAGGAACGTCGCTGACAGTCGGCGAGGGCGGGTTCGAGGGAGATGGAGGTGGATTGCGACTGTGGGCAGGCGGAGACGAGGGCACTGCCCTAGGCGTGGCGAGCAGCAGCCGTCGAGCGAAGCAGTACTCCGTTGAACTCGAGACCAGCAGGCTAAAGCGCGAAGCGAGGGTCGGAAGTGGTGAGGAGGAGGGAGAGTGAGGTGATGCGGCGAAGGACTGCACAAGGACTACACTCGCGCGACTGCGGGCTCTTCTGGTGCAGGAAGAGGAGAACGAGACCAAATAGACTCTCGAGCGCGAGAGATGCACAGCAAGAGGATCAAAAGCTGGAGCAGCGACAATTGTGTACGCCTATTCGTTGACGTGCTCCAACCCGTACATGGACGTCGTCGTCGTCGGCGTCTCGTACGCCTCGTGGCCGTGCGGGCTGTCGACCTTGTACATCTTGGTCCTGCAGTGCGGAGGAGAGTTGAGGAGGCGTCAGCTCCTCTGCTCGCAGTCCTCGCATTTCCCAAGAGCCAAAGGGGGAGTGCTCACCTTGACAGGAACGTCACAGCGACGCGAGCCGTCGCTCTTTGGGAACAACCTCGACAGCCTCGGCGGGCGCAAGTTCCGGAAGCGAGATCGCCTCGGCGCCCTTCTTCGCCTTCTCCGCAGCCTGCTTGTCCTTTCGACGGCGTCTTCGCAGCCTTCGAAGCGTCCTTGGCGGGCGCTGCCGGCGCTTGGTGCTTGGGGGCGACGGAACTCGCGCGGCCCTTGGGGATAAGGATGAGCTCGACCTTCTGGGACGGGTTCGAAGCGTCGAAGGCGCGGTCGACGATGTAGAAGCCCTTGCGTTCAAACTGGATGATGGCTCCTTGCGGGAGAGAAGCGACGTTGTGGTCGGCGACGGCATGTTGCGAAACGGCGAAATCGAGGGTGAGCAAGCGGAGCAGCGACAGTGCGAGGATCGCGACCGCGTCGGTACTCCGTCTTGGGGTTGATCAAGTCCTCGACATTGTCGTCCTCCTCGAGCTTCTTCTTCGTGATGAGGTAGTCGTAATCGAGGAGCGAGACCAGCGTCAAATCCTCGGGCGACGACGGCGCCTTCGGGCTTGCGAGCCAGGTGACCTTCTTCTTCGTCTTCTTGAAGTCGCCGGCGAGGTTGAGCTCCATCTCGAGCGAAATGACGGGGCCGGAGTCGGACGAGCGGGAGATCGTACGGACGAAGGCATTGCCCCAGTCCATGAGGGTGAGCTGCGGAGCGCGAGCAGCATCGTCAGCAGCTGAAAATGCGGATGCTACTCAGAACGTCCAGATGACTGCGGCGCGACCAGCCGGGACGCTCGAAAAGGGTGTGGAAGGTCAAGAGCCCGACTCACCTCCTCGTCCTGCGCGAAGCTTGCCGCATCCGCCTGTTCGACGTAAATCGTGTCGGCGTAGAAGGTCGTCTTGTCGCCGACTTCCGGGTTCTTCTTGTGCTTCGGGACGACCTTCGACTCGACCTGACCCTCGGCGGGCTTGCCTTCACCGGCGACAATCTTGACGGGGACGCTGCGAGCAGTGAAATCGTCAGTAGGCTGCGACTGCGAGGAGGGGCGAGAGGGCAAGGCGTGTAGCAGAACGAGGCAGATGGCGAAGGTCTATCGGAGGTTTGAGATCGAAAGAGGGCGAATCGCAAGTTCTCCTCCGCGAGGGCAACGAAGTGCGGTGCAGCAGGGTCGACAACCTTCTTCTTGAGGTTCCAGACGGCGTACAACTCGCGCAGGAAGTGTTGTGCAGCTGCCTCGCTTCGCAGAGGGGCTGCAACTAGGGGAGCCGCGACTTCCGAAGAGCACCGCTGGAGATTCAGTTCTGCCGCTTCAGCTGTGCCCAAGCGTTCCCACATCAAGCTGTTGACAAGCTCAGGCCAAGTGTCAGCGACTTGTGGACCTCCCCATTCACCACACCGCCGGAGAACACCTGTTGGAGAGCATCAGGACGCACGTGAGTCTTCAGCCTCCTTCTTCTAGACTTGCGAGGACTGCTGGGTCGCCAAGAGTGGCGAGAAGGACGATAGGCGGGTCGCATGCGAGGGTGAGGGTGGAGCACGATGAGGATGAGCGATGGTGTGCGAGCGGGCGTGGCCGGTGATGGAGTCGGTCCGATGGCAGCGAGCAGCAGTCCAAGTGTCCTTGCTACGAGGATAACGGCGAAGCGGCGAACACGTCGAGGTGAGGCGGGCACTCGCCTTGCGGGACTGGACTTCGCGAGCGAGTGCCCGTCTCACTCCAACCGGGTGTTCGCAACTCGCTCACCTCCCGCTGTGTGGCATCGCTGCTTCGTCCAGCTACTTCCGCCGCCCCGACAATTCAGTCCAGCGCCAGCCGCAACTCGCTGCGCCGCAGGGCACACCGCCAAAAGCCGTCCCGACTTCGACGGCTCTCGCTCGACTTGCAGGCGGCGCGCAGGGCTGGTGGTGCGTCCGATCTCCTTACTGAGCCTGTCTGAGTATGCTGACCGAGTTTCAAGCACGCAGAGTCGCTGCGGTTTGCTGGGCGGACCTTGACTGTCCTCGATGACTTGCTCGCCGCGACCGTCAGCGCCGACAGCCGTGGCCAGGATGTCGAGCCACGTTAACCGAGTTTCGCCATCGTATTTCGCCCGACATCGGTTTCTGCCGAAACGCTCGTCTGCCTCCCTCGACCCGCTCGAACGCTCAAGCTCTGCTGCACCTCCGAGAGAAGGAGATCGAGGTAGCAGGTGCGTTCCTCCGTTCTCCCAGGAGCGCATGCAGCGAGAGGAACGAGGAGGTGGTTTGCATGGCACTCGCTTTGGCCAGACCGCGGACGAGGCGGGCGGCTCGCAGGGTGCAGGTCAAGATGTGGGCGTCGAGGAGGATTGCGCGTGTGCTCGATAGACTCTGCAGAGTCTTGGAGGTACGCCGAACTTTGTCTCAAGGCAGCAGCTTGCGTGGGAGTCGAGACGGGAACAAATCCAGGGGGTGGGCCCTCCTGGCTCGCGAGCCAGTGAGGGACACCACCCGACTTACAGCCGTTCGTGCTCAGCAACAGCCGAAGCTGACCTCCCAGATGCGCGCAGGACTTGCATAACCTTCAGTAGCTCATACAGGTGCGTTGTATTCCGCCCGAACCTCTTTCGGCTGAAACTGACCATTGCTGCTGTTCCCAGGTTTCCCTCGTTGCAACCCGAGATTCTGCCACCTACCATGCGCCTATCGGCTGACCATCGACTGACAGAGAAGGCGCCTTTCCCGCTTCGCTGCTCTATTCATCCTTCCTGGTCGTCACGCCGACTCGGGCGCGTCTCGCTCCTGCAGCCTCGCGCCTCTAGTACAAGGAGCGCTGCTTACTAGTCGTCGCAACGACTGGTACAACTCACGCATTCCTAAACGCTTCCTCCGCATCGCTTGGTCATCGTGCAGCTGAGACGACTCACCGCACCGCCTCCGCTCTGTGCGCAGAATCGCTCGTATGGAGATGGTGCGCTCAGCTTTCGTTCAGTCAGCGCTTGCCTGAACCTACAGAGGACGCTGAACTGAAGCTCGATTTGGTCCATAGGACTACCCCCTCGCTTTGCTCGCGACTGTCTGGCGACGGCACGGTCGTCTTTCCAGCGCATATCTCGTCGACCCCAGTCGCGCACCACGCTCACAGGTTGCTCGCTTGGCAAAGACTGCCTGGAAGCTCGCCGCCTCGGCGAGTTTGCCGAACTCGAGACCGTCTCCCTTGCAGCCTCGTCATCGGCGACGCGGGCTTTCAAACTCTCGCTTCCTTTGGGCTCCTGCACTACCGATGGTCCCGTCGCCGTCACGCTCGATGCGCGCTAAGCCCTGTTATCTCGCCCAGCGATGCTGGAACGAGGTTGGCGTCGCGCTCACGAACGCTCGCTTGATATGAACGCTCTATCTCCCTATGCGGGCTTCGATAACCGCCTCAACGCATCTTCAAAAGCCAGCACTCGCTCGCTCGAGGCTCGCTTGTCCTCGTCGGAGGGTCCGCGGACTTGCGTGCCAGTGAGGAGGCTGAACTCGCCTCAAGTCCACTCGAGCGTCTACAAGCGCTACGCGAGACACCGCAGCGGACGCACCTGATCCCACGTAAGTCCATCGCATCCCTCGCCTTCCCTGAATCAACGCTGACGAGCCTGAACTTGTCCTCCTCGCCTCAACCCCACGTCGACCGGCCATTGCGCGTCGTCCTCGCCTCTGATCAATGTGCGTCTTCTGCCCCATCGCGTGAACACGTTGCTCGAGTAGCTGGCGTAGAAGGAGCGGCGGCTGGAGATGGTGCGGAGGCAGGAGAGGGTGCGGAGGCGGTTAAGCTGATGAGGATGGGCAAGTCGCGGAACAGCGATTGGAGCGGCGGAGGGAGGGCGTAGGGGGTTCAACTGACATACGAGCGTATCCAAGCGCCTCTAGCAACAGCATGGAGATGATCTGGAGTCGTGGTCCGATGTCAACCCTGGTCGACCCTGGGCTGCTCGATGCGCCTCACCTCTCGCTCCTCGCCTCATCGAGCCTACAGCGAGATGACTCTTACCGAACGGACTGAGTTCGCTACAACCTCAAGCACCCTCTCTCTCTCCCCTGCACCCATCCCGCTGCCTCGAGTCTCCCTCCCCACCTCGACCTCCTCTCCCGCACCTCCCATCCGTGAACCCACGTCGCCATCGCTGCTCGACCCATTTAATGAGCCTGCGCACCTGCCCCCGACCGTCCGCCTCCCGGCACCGACCTTGACCAGCTCTACCGCGTGCAAGCTAGTCGCCTCGCCAGCGACTTCGAGCGGAGAGGAGGTCGGGAAGAAGGTCAAGCGGAGACACAAGAAGACGGCGTCAAGTAGAGCACTGAAGAAGGGCCGGAGCGTTTGCGCGGGCTGGACCGAGGCGCAGAGAGCCGCCGTCAACAGTGCGTCAAAGGATGACCTTCCTCCGCTCGCGATGACTATTCCGGCTGACCCGACGATATTCCTCCTCCCCTGCGGATAGAGCACAAGGCCCGCTACCTGTAAGTGTACGCCTCGTTCACGCCGAGCGTTCCAGCTAATCACTGCTTCGGCAGGATCCCTCACCCTCTGGTCTACTCCAACTCCTTCGTCTCCCGCTTCCTCCCCCCGACTCACGACTACAGCCCCGGTACTCCCTCACCATCCTACGTGCGTCAACAGGAATCGAAGCGCAAACGGGCGCAGGAGGCGAGGAAGCGGGAAAGGGAGTCGAGACGGGCGGCGCGCGAGGCGAGGACCGCGGAACAGGCCGGGAGCGCAGGCGGAGAGGCCGGCGGAGCGTCTACGAGGGCGGTTACGGAAGCTGTTGCTGGCGGGGTGGGCGGAACGGAGGTTAGGAAGGTCGTCGTTGGCGTCTCGAAGGAGGTCGCTGAAGACATCGTTGAGGATCGGAACGGCGTCGAGCATGACAAAGCGATCTCGTCCAAGGACAGCTCGCTCCCGACGCTTCCTGTTCAACCCGAGTTGGAGACGTTGCCTAGCGCGACGGTGCGTTCACGCTCTTCGCATCCGTGAGCCTGACTCTCATTCACCACTCTTCACTTCCTTGCAGAACGATCGCAATGCCAAGCTTCCTGACAAGAAGGAGGAGGCAGTCCCACCCGACAACTCGCACCTCGACCTCGCCGACAAGCGGCCCGAGAATGGGCATCCACCCAAGGACTACAGTTCAGAACGAGCGGCTCCTCGTCTCGCTCAGAAGCCCGACGGTCGGATCCAGATCTTTGTCAGGACGCTGACGGGGAAGACCGTGCGTACCCTCCCTCCTCACGCTTCTCTCGCTTCATCCGCTCACTTGTCCGGTCGTCGCAGATCACGCTCGAGGTCGAGTCGTCGGACACAATCTACGACGTCAAGGTCAAGACCCAGGACAAGGAGGGCATCCCGCCCGACCAGCAGCGCTTGATCTTCGCAGGGAAGCAACTCGAAGATCATCGCGCAGTCGGCGACTACAACATCGAGAACGAGTCGACGCTCCACCTCACGCTCAGGCTCAACGGCGGAGCGGATTCCTGGGTCATTCGCGTCAACTTCTGCGAAAACGAGGTGCGCGGGCGCCTTCTCTTCGGTCGAGCATGACGCCGACAGGTCAACTGCTCACAGATTCGGAAGACGGTTACGGCATCCACGACGATCGAGGACATCAAGCAAACGTTCGACCATTTGGTCCCCGTCGAGGCGCAGCTCTGTTGGCTGCATGACGACGAGAGCGTCGTCGAGAACGAGGCGACCGTCGTCGACTGCCGCCTCGGTCCTTCGGCACCGGCGAGCCCTCCTCCACTCATCTACATCCGGCGCACCCCGACCTACGCATCCCCAACTCAACCTCGACAGCACGAAATCCCCGACTTCGACCGCAGTCCATCCGGTCGAACGAGTGGGAACGGCAACTGCGCGTTCTACGCCGTATGCGAGCGCGGGGTGAGGTATGGGCATGGTACGAGGTGGCCGGATCTTGACGCGGTTGCACTCGACTTGCGCGAGCGCACTGCGCGGGTGGTCGAGACGATGTGGGACCCGGCGTTGATGGCGGGGGATGTTCCCTGGGCGGGACAAGGTGAACAGTGGGAGCGGGAAGACGAAGCCGTCTTGGCGGACCCAGCGAAGAAGGGTACCCCATTCACGGGCACGATCGCGAAGCTGGTGCAGCTCTGGCGACGCGACCACCGCTTCTGCGCCGACGGACAGCTCCGCGCTCTCGCCGCTGTTCTAGGAGTCCCGCTAATCGTCTACACGTATCGCGAGGCGACAATCGTGCGATCGGTCATCCTCCCGGCTCTCGTGCCCGAGGCTATCCGCCTTCCCTCGACCGACCTGCTTTCCCCGACCGCGCCCATCGCAATCCTTCACCAGGGGGGCCACCACTTCTCTTCCCATGCGTGCGAAGTAGGTTTCGCCCACTGGGCACCCTCCCTCCCTCCTGCCGCATTCTCTGTCCCTGCCGACTCCTTCCTCCCCTCGACCTTCCGTCAACAAAACGATCGCCTCTTCGGGACGTCCACGACATTCTTCGAGCTTGCAGCACGTGCGATCGACTACGCGTTCGCAGACGAGCAGCAAGACGACGGAGACTTTGAGTTCGACGGCGACGGCGAGTTCGAGGACGACGGCGAGTTCAAGGACGACGGCGAGTTCGAGCTCGGCGGCAACGATACCGCCCTTGGCGAGCCAGTAGAATCAGCGGACCTCGTCGCCTTCCGCCGCAGCGAGCAGAGTCGCTTCGGCCGTGGCACCTCCACGATTACGGCCGAAGAGGCGTCAGGAGTCGCTTCGTCCAGCGGCGGTTCGAGCAGCGATGACTTCGGACTCTTGGAGGACGAGTCAGAGGAGGAGGATGACGGAGAAGACGAGGCCGCGTTTCTCGAGCCAACTGACAGCTCCAATCTCACCGCCAAGCGCCTCGGGACGATCTCAG